TTTAATGCAGTGATAAACTTCCAGCTGCAATAACATTAAGTGATCGTTGTTGAATTGTACTTCCTGACGTTTAAAATGAACAACATCGAGATCGAGTATCAATAAAGACGAGTTCTGTTTAACCCGGCGATATACAGAATTTTATTTGCTTACCCACCTCAATTGCTTTAGATACTGCACTTCAGGATTCTTGGATAATCCTCTCAAATGAAGTCTCCGACTATGAAAGATTCGTAAAAACACAGATGCTATCAATGTCAATTCTGCTTGCATTTTATTTGCATTCTCACCTCACCCTGTTAATTTTTGTGTGTTACATTATACTACTTGATAATAATCAGTAACCATTTTCGATTATAATAATGGTACGGCTTGTTATGTCTATCAGTTGTTTGATATTTATGTACATAGAATTCCGACATACTATTTCTTTATTGTTCTTATTCCATCTTCATTATATTTACAACACTTACTTTTGCTTCTAGAGTATTCATAGAACATTTATTTTATAGTGATAATTTACATTTCTGGTGTTCTTCATTCCCATGTTCTAACTGTCTGGTATCGTAATTTCGACACAGCTATTAGCTGTCACAAAATCAGTAGAAACTTATTGTATTACTAACATGGATATGTTGAAGATAGTAGGTAATTTTTTAGACATTCTCCGAAAAATACAGAGGTAGTTCATCAGTACCATTCTTAGAGAAATGATAGCAATGCAATACATGCTATTTATATGAAGCAATGATCAAACATAAATTTAGTAAATTACCCGTTTGTGTAAAGTTAAGAGAGATCAGAAGGGCTGCATCATATTACGAGAATTTGGTTTGTTATTGAAAAAGAGAAGTGCAATAAACCTAGGCTTTTTAGGTTATTAGTAAGAAAGAAATTTACATAGTGAGTAAAGTGTAGAAGAGACATACTGAAGCTGCTCGATATTAAAAGTTCATCTAAGCGTTCCGTAAGCTTTGGCCTTCTCCCATAGAGCGTTGTTTTAAGCCGTTTGCCAAATACCACCGGATTTTCTTTGTGGTTATTAATTATCAGGTGGGATTTCGTAATTGTGAGACTCGTGTCGTCCGATTGTACCGGAGGAAAATCAATATTATTAGAGTGTTCTCCTAAATGAACGACTTTAGGACGATCGATTCCGATGTTATTGTTTGTTCCGTCTTTATTGATCATATAGTACTTATGTATAAGCTAAAGGACATTGAAGAACCCTTCGTATGCAATTTCAAGAGCTCGCTCTATTGAGTCGCAACGTACAAAGACGTGTGTACTATGTCGCAAGGCAGGTTGAACGAAAACATCAGTTGACTGCAGTTTGGTGGAAAATGTTTAACTGGACACATGGCGTTTGTAAGCCTCTTTATGTGAGCGTTTAGATCAGTATTCAGTGAAGAAGATGGACTAGTAGGTCTCCTCGGAAGTCAGAGTGTCGTTACGTAAACAAGTTTAGTTTCAGTGTACTGCATTGGGAGTGCCGAATAAAACGGTTGTAAGAGCGTCAGTTTACTGCGAAACCTTCGCAACTTGGAGTGAAGCTTTTAAATATCAGTGAGGGCATTCTACAAACTTGTTTGCTTGTGGGTGGTAGGTGGTCGTTCGGAACCGTGTGACTCCAAGTAGCGTAGTAATACAACGGAAAAGTCCAGATTCGAACTGGCGTTCATGGTCTGTAGTGATAGTTGATTAGCAACCGAAGTTTGCTATCCACCGTTCAAAGAAGGCACGATCCACTGTTTCAGCAGTTATATCCCTGATGGGTATTGCTTCTGGACACAGAATGAAACGATTTACAAAAGTTAAGAGATAAGAGTATCCGTTTGAACCTGGTAACGGTCCTACCAGATGCAGATGAACCTAATCGAAAGGAGCATCTGGAGTTTCGAAAGGGCCTAAGGAATATTGACCGTGTCTAGTCGCCTTAGATTTCTGGTAGGTTACACAGAACTGTGCCTACTCCCTCACCTTTTCGTTCATCATTACAATGCATGGCTAGGAGTTCCCTGCTGGAAGTGCTGCACCTCGATTTAGTGTATAGCAACCGTTTCGAAAAGAACGACCAAGGTTGCCAGTCGTTGTTTATGGGTTGTTGTAAGACTCCTCCGATCACCGAGTCGGATGAACCTACTGTGACACTAATTGGTGCTTCGGTGTCTTGATGTGCGATCAATGTGGTTTTGGTGATAAGTTCCTTAAGTGTGAAGAACGCTTTATTCGCGATATCGTCCAAATTGATGGATATCGCATTTCCACAAAGTTGTTCCGTTAAAATTCTCATAAGAAACGCGCAATCCATTATGAACAGTTAACAGTAACTTACTGGTCCGTTAAACGTGCGCAATTGCTTGATTGTTGTAGGTTCTGGGTTATCCGGAATGGCCACCACTTTGCTTTTTAAAGGTCGGATGCACTGAGCATCAGTAGTGTATTCGAGAAAATCTAGATATTCGGTGCCGACTTGACATTTCTGAATGTTTACAGTAATGCCGTACTTTTGTAGTCGTTCGAAGACGAGGTCCAGATACTGGAGATAAAATGCTCTGTATGTACGTATGTACAAAGGTGAGACATCGAAAGACGTCATCGATGAACCTACGGAAGGTTTAGGCAGCATTTCTTCAGCCGGAAGACATGCGCAAAAACTCGTAGAGACTGGAAGGAGTGATTATAGCAGTCTTGGGGATGTCGTCAAAAGGCATGGGAATTTGTTTATAGGCTTTAACCAAGTCGATTTTCGTAAAAAACAGTTGTACCTTTCAAGGTATCTGTCAAAACGTGAACCTAAGGCAATGGGTAACGACCAGGAATGGTTTTCATATTCATCCTTCGATAGTCATCAGTTGTACGACTGTTGTTGCCTTACTTTTTAGTAGCCATATGCAGGCGAAATGCACATGCGCCTTTTGGTAGCCGAACGAGTCCTAAGTCTATCGTGTGATCGAATCCGTTTAAAGCCAACCTCAGCTTTTCGGAGCTAGTTGGCGCGCATTTGAGAATGTAGGTGATCCTATAGTGGTGATGTAATGTGTAACATTGCTGGTTAAACGTGACGATTTCTGTTGCATTTGGTATATCTCAGAGTACTTCTTGCGTTACGCAAACAGGTAAATTAGTACTCCTGTTTAACAACTTCCATTCGTTCATGTCTATGAGCAAGTTATGATGTTTTAGCAAGTTCAAACCAAAGATTGACATAAAAACATCTACAGCAACGTAGATCTAATGGACGGGTTTGCGTAAACACACGTTAAGATAAAGATACCGCATAACATATGTGGCGACCGGCTTCTCATTTGCCATTTGTAAGTTGAAAAGTGCTTCGTGCAGTTGGGCCTTAGAATTCGATGGAAGAACGCTTACTACTGAGTTGACACCGACGAGGTAGCGAACGTTGGTGATCACGCCAGTGATGACTATGTTCGACGGCTACAGTTGCTGTTAACTCATGTCGACGAGGAAATTTCCAAAGAGTTTCCTCGTGTCAGACTGTTTGTAGATTGCTGAAACTGCAGGGTTCCCTGCAAGTTTGAGGCTTGCCATACTTATTGTGGTACATGCATCGACCAGTATTATCCGCTTCTCACGGTTTTGAGACAAGTCTTTTTCATGACGAGCTTCTTTAAGGAGTTCGGCAGTGTTTAAGTTATGATGGATATTAAGACGGTGAGACAGATTTTGCCATCATTTTGTGTTTTTTAGTCTTCTCTTTGACAGAATAAGCCTCGGCACTGGAGGTTCAGTAATTTTCAGTATTCAGCTAGCCGATGCAGCCAGTTCGTCTACGACATTATTTCCAAATAAGACGAGAACAGCCTGCACCTAGTTGGGAAGCTCAGACAAGAAAAGCTATCTGATTAGGCTGTCGTCAAAGGTCGGTCGACCAATGAGTTCTCGCAGATGTAGTAACATCTTTGTTGCTGAGCCATGCTACAGCTCGATGTTGTGAAAAAGTTGGTCTAACCTTTCTTGATCGAATTGCTTTCCATGCATAAGGTTAGCCTTCTTCAAAGTGTCGTGAGGTTGCGAAACATCACCAATAACATCCCAGGTGTTACGCATCTGTTAGAGCCGCGCGGTAGTGTCTTCATTATTGCGAGGAGATTTGCACGAGTGTCTATCACTCTGTGCCCATGGAAATTAAATTATGTGTAGCAGAACCAGTTTTCTATATTGTCGAGCCAGAATCGCATGAGTTCAATGGCTAGAGGCAAAAAAGTTTACATTTTAGTAGCTTAGGTGTCCGTCACGATATGATAAAAGTAAGATTTACAAAGTGCCAAGAAAAAAAGTATCTGAAAATGAAAACAACTTTATTATATGCAAGAATAGAAGTGAAAATTATGATGGAACTACGAATTCTTGTGGGATACAGCTTTCCCATCGAGTAATCAATACTTGGTAGAAGTGGTATATGCACCATCACTTGACCTTTTCTAAAAAGAATACGCGTATACATAGAGGCTTATATATAGAAAGTTAATGAAAAAAGTGTCCGTCTGTCCTCAAAGCACAAGTCTGAATTTATGTCAAAAGGTTTTAAGGCGCCTCAGAACTTGACACGTAATGTTCAACAATTTTATTCGTCTCCATTTAAAGTACAGGAACAGTAATCCCTCCCTCACTTCAGAAGTTTAAGGACAAACTTATGGGTAACATCCAAAAAGTGGAGAAAAAACACAGCAGAACTGACTGTAGACAAACCCTCTTCTAATTAAGAGTAGTCAAATGCTGAACTACTCCGAACAACCTCCCGGGAGTCCTTCAAAAGGAAACTTGACATATTCTTAAGGGATACGGTCATATCTTACCATGACTTACCATCTTTTTCTCCTCCTTTTTTATTGATAATATATTTAGATTCATGCCTGGAGGTATTGGTGATCCGCTGATACTAGATACAGAATCCCGTTAAGCGAAAGTTCCTTCTATTTCGTCCTAAACCATTCGAACCGAGTAGCGCCTAGTTCAAACATAAAGTTACGCTGATGGGTGGCGATAATTCTAAGCTAGGCTACCGAAATGCAGTTATACAACTCACTACGAAAACCCAAGTATTGTTAACATTTCAGATTACTTATTGATTAGCCTGTTGATTCTAACGATGATAACTTCTGGGACCAATTTTGGGCTGAACATCCAATGTCTATCCAAGATATTTTTGCTCTTATCCCTGCAGCCGAAATCCGAGCTTTAAGAACAGAAGCCCCAAATAATCTAGCTACTTTGTGCTATAAAGCCATTGAGCGTATTGCACAAGTGTCTGAGTCTGCCTCACCAACCACCAAAGACCAAACTACAGGTTAGTTTATCCAAGTTGTATATGTTTTGCAGTTCTTAACTGCATTCGGTTGCTCACCAGGTTATTGCCATTCATATTTGAAGACACCGAATGGCGCTCGTTTTTCTGGTCACCTCTCCCAGTTGATCCCTCTGTATCCCGAGAAGTACGTTGTCTTAATATTTATCTTATCAAAAAAATAGCAGGTTGAATTTGTTCCACTTGCTCAAAGTTTACTGTCAGCACTCTGTGTAAGTGGCCTTTTTAAATTCAAACTTCTCTAGGATCTGCTATTCTGTCCAGATTTTACGGTGCATTCCATTTCCAAATCTGGTCCTGTAAGTTTATTCGATGTGTATTGTCTATACATTGTATTATATTCAATAAGCACATAAAAATTCGAATTCATAGCTGCTTAATGTACGACTGAAGATCACTAGTATCCGTATTGTTTGGAGCAAGGTTTATTTAGTTCGTTTGATAGTACGCAGCCTTTGTATTTATCACGGTTGTATGTCCTCGGCTTTTGAATTTCAAATAGATTTCGTAACATGTCGATGATTTGCAACAAAATACAAAGACAAACCTATAACCACGATAAACTGTAAAGCGATACTCGCTAATGCTGTATATATCGTAGTTTTATTTTTTACCACTTGATAAAGAGACTAATTAAGACTGACAATTCACATAGATGGTTTCATTCTAAAACTGGCCGATTAAGCAACAGTTTCATTTCTCGCCATAATCATTTTCCATCTGAAATCCTATATTTTCTCCAAGTATCCAATGGTTAAACTTCTCATTACCAGTTATGTATGTGGAGTCAATTCGCTCCTGTTATTTTCTATCGAAATAATTAAGGGAATTATTTGTGGTTAAATGCACTAAAGTCACCATGCCTTTTTCGTAGTACGGCTATCGGTAGTAAGTGGCGTTTTCAGTATGAAGTTAGTAGTTTAGATCCCGACGTTTTACTTTGAGCTTTCAGTTTATCATTAAAAATCGCACCAAAGAAATACATCATCCTGGTGAAAGCTTTATATCCGAATACTACTGAACGAGTCAGATTGCGACGTACTGTCACCAGAATATTTGACTTCGAATGTTCGTCAGGGTTTCATACTGTTCTCTTTTTTACATGATTTCGTCATATATAACTTGGTAATGACTTTTCGTTCAACATTTTACGGATTGATTTGCCAGAAGGTTCATTTATCGACTTAGAATACCAAAATGAAGTAGCCATAACTAATTAACTTGTGACCACTTTGAACAATGATATAAGCATATTTGGGATGCGTTTCTCCCTCTAAATTCGAAATATTACTTCAGGACTGGTTGTCATCAATGACTGTACTAGTGGTAGGAAGTGAAGTAGTGGATTGTTTTGACCACTTCACTTATCTTTGAATTCTCATCAGACCTGGTGGGTTAGTTTCTAACGAATTCTAAGTACTTATTCAGAAATCTCAGTTAACTTCTGTCAACTTGCCCCGACGGGTGATGTCTGATATAGGAGAAGGTTGAAGGAAAACTAGGAGCGGTCGACTTAAGAAAGGGTGTCAGTTAATGAAATTATTGACAATTGGACAGCCGCGTTAACAGGTGTAGCCTCATTAGTTTTCCAATATGGACCACACATTTTATGTGACGTACTGTTTGTTCGGTTAATTTGTTCACCTATATGGTTTGGTTCTATCTTTTTTATTCTCGCTAGGTTCCTTTCCGAAAGGTGACTCGATTCATCCTGACTGCGTCTTTATCATAACACATTTGCGGTTGTTATTCTATAGAGCATTCTTATCTATGGACAGAAATGCTGTAACTTGTTTTCTAAAAGCAAACGCTTCTTGAGATATTAATTTCCCTAAAATGAGCTTCGCTGATAAATTGTGTAAATAAATTTCATGATAAGTCTGGTTTATTTCTTGTATTAGAGGCCTCTGAGTAATATTGCACAGTTAATTTCTCATTCTAGGAAGGCCCAGAAGATATGCATACTATTGACAGTTGTGAGTATATCTGGCAGTCTGGTGTGGGATTTGCACAAGCTCCTGCGGTAAACGCCATTCATGATTCTAATCGGACAGAAATTCTCAAACTTATTTTGACTTGTTTTTCTGAAACTATGTATTTGGAACAAGAGGAGGCTCATCGTTCTGAAAATAGATGGGTTACATTTTTCACGAGTACGGCGAATCGTCACGCACTGCCATTATTTGCTTCTTTGTTAAACGTTGTTTGTGCATATGATCCAGTTGGTTTAGGTGTACCATACAATCACCTTATGTTTTCTGATTCACGTGAACCTCTAGTCGAGGTAGCTTTACAGGTGAGTTGATAATTTAGTTGTCCTTACTTTTCTAAAGTTAATAAAGGGAATTGTACATATGATACTCATTAATTTACTTAATTAAACAAACAATTTTTTAAAATCTCTGATGCTTGTGTTAACTCTATAAAAGTTTATGATACTTCGCATTCTATATCTATTCATATTTCAATTATAGCTTAAGTTTTCCTAACAGATAAAATGAGAGTGGAAAGTGACTTTCTTCCTTAAATCACCCAAATAACATGTTTCTTATGTGTAAATGTGGTTGCCGTATAATCAGCCTTATGTCAAAAGGACGGATAAATACATTGTAGTTAAATTGTTTTTTGTATGACTAATGTATCTTTCTCTGTCATATTTACTTGGAAAACTATATTTGTTCCCCATAGATACTATGTATAACCTTAGAACCTGATCATGTGATATCAAGTCCTACCTATTCGAATGCATCATTTCGTGATTTAAACTCTTCTCACAACCATCCTTGTTCAGATGTTGACGAACAGTTAAGTTTAAATGGCACTGGGATGACTAGTCAAAATAGTGGGAATGGAGATGTATGGAATAACGAGATGAATCTGTTCGTAAATTACATGTCTCGTATACACAGAGATGAGGTTAGTTTTATTTTGATATCATTTTCTTCTAACACACTATTTAGCTATCTGCCTTTTTTTACTTGCTTGAAATCATTAGTCAACCAATGATAATGTTCAATGAAGTCTCATATAGTGTCTTAAGAATAGTACCTTTAGCTATTAGCTATTAGCTACTTTTAAAGTACTTCACATTTTTGTCAAGCAGGTGTTTTGGCACTTTCTATACACTGTATGAGGTTAACATAAATTCGTAAATTTATGAGCCTTAGTGTGATGCCTTATAAGTTAATGGATCTCTGTCTGAAATCAGGTGTATTCAAATCTCATCATCCAGATTATTGGTAGTTTTATTTTCATGAATTTTACTAGCTAGTTTGATAATAGTGAGAACTGTAATCGGCTGTGTCCTTATTTGATATTTATTTTCCAACCAATTAATTTCATTTTTCTATTAATTTCCTACGAACTTAATCAATCTTTTCATGTAAATTGTAAAACCTACAACCATTTAATCACTAGATTTTTTTAAACTAGCAAATAAACAGTGTCAAAGTAAGGGCTGGGATTTTTAATGGGGAAGATAACAATCATTTATCTATGCCGGTTAAAGTGACCGAGTCTAAAAGGGGTGCGTTTGGCGACATCACTGGTCGACATATACCCTGATTTCGAGCGTTCTCATCGTTATAGTGAGTCTCCCAATGCAGCAAAACCAATCCAGAGATTTCTACTAAACGTTGGTGTCTTATTCGTGTGCATATTTCAAAATCCATAAATATGGTCAATAACAATCATGTTAGCAATATAGAGATTGGCTTTTACAGTAGTTCACTCGTACTACATAAGTCATAACATTTATTATTTGAATTATTAACAGTATAATATTATTAACTAAGTTCAGTTTGGAAACAGTAAAGTTACCCACAGCTCATGTCTTATTTGAAAAAATTGTATTGGTCAATGTGTAGTGTATTCAGTATTTCGAAGTATACTCAAATATGTCATTTTGTCCAAATCATAATCACGTTAGGTTATGTTGCTTTTTGATCTGAGTAGAATAGGTTAAAGGTTCTAGCTTTGAAAATTGTGTATCCTGTCATATTACAACAATTCATTGTTTCCACTCATGATAGTTCGAATGCGAATCGTCTACATTATTTCTTGATCTTTCTAGACACAAAATTAACAATTCTATTTTTTATAACTTTGAAATTTTTTCTATTTTTATTTTTACTGTGGGTTACAGAAAGGTATAAATCAATTTTGCACACGTTCAAAAATAAAAATCTCTATTGACTATAAATGATTACTTAACTTCTTTATATTCTAAGATTACCAACATTTTTGCCTTAATAGTTTTTTTATCAGTATGGGCTTGTAGAGGTTACTAGTTGTTTTCGGGATCACGAACGTATCTAAATAAGACAAACAATAAACACCTGGAAGCACTGAACAGAAATATTACTGGCTTATTGAAGTCAGATTTTGGCTTAGTAATCTACAGGTTAAAGATTCACATACGAGACTGATGGTCCTAGGTTTTGTCCTGATGTGGGGCTCATATGTGCTCGCTACTGAGTGGTCTCACACTATGATGCATCATATGTCTAGTGCTTCCAGGTTAACATTAGTTGTCTAACGTGAGTCGATTAGATATCTCAATAACAATTGTTTTTGTTAAATAATCTGCTTAGACTCCTGACATCAAGCTGTTGTTAACTGTTAACTTTTTTTGCTTAAAATCCCACCTTTCAGTACATGAAATTACAGCCAGTTAGATAAGACTAAAAACTATGTTTGCAAAACGTTATTTCAGTGACACTCGTAAGAATAAATTATAGTTATTTATGTAAATTTACCTGACCCATATGGTACCTTATAGGAAGTACTCTTAAAATTCCTGAGGATTCAATCTCTCAGATTCCAAATACCCCTATCTACCAGTCTTCTTTTAATAGTCGATTCCAGCTTGTACATCTTAGTAGTTTTTAAGGTTTCTACATAAATGGTAAACTTCTTCGCTTTCAGTAAGTCAGATTAAAAGTTGTTAAACTTGCTGCAGGGCGAATAATTATATGCGGTTATAGTTGCTGGTAATGTAGGTTCGTCACTTGGAAGGCGAAGGGATTGGGCATTAGTAAACGTTTTATTAGGTTCACAATCGAAATCCGCATAGCAGCTGAAAATGAAAATATTTTATCGTACCTTCGCAGTGTGCCAGGGTTTGGTATAGTTTAAGCAGAGTTGATAACTAAATTTTTCGTTGACTTAGTCGTCAAAGAATTTGAGTTTGGACTGTCAAACAGTTACACGAACCCTGGCAAAAAATACATTGCTTTAAACCGGGTAAGATAGTAGTACAATTCATTTTTAAGTACAAATTGATGCACTCGTTCTTATATAATGTTTTTAGTATATTATGTTTCTCATTACCACCTAATTGTCTAAACCGTAGCCGTCGAATTTGAATTTGCACTCACAATACAACAGTTTAGAACTTAGCATTTACTGGGTTGGATATTTCGAGTTAACTATAGAGTGAAATCGTACTTTTTTACTCAGTGAAACATCCTCTATTCAGATGTACAGTTTCTGGTGTAGTAATATGTTTTTAACCTCTTCATGGTAGCCAGATATCAGTAGTTTCTTAAGGTGGGCGTAGATTATGAAGGGAACTAGGTCGTATAGTTGAAGTTCTTAGGTTTCCTACAAATCAAACATTCGTTCATTCCTTATCTCCATTTTTTAAATATTATAAACACTATTCCATTCAATACTTATCTGGTGCTTATCGACTTAGAGTCGTTCACAATGACCCTTTATCTTACTCTATATTGAATTTCAATTTTCTCACACACACACCTTTCTACAATATCTTTTGGAACAATATTCTCAATGCTTAGTCTTTCTCATCGTCACATCTACATTATCTTGATTTTTTTTGTTATTCATCTTGTCTTGCTTATATTGTATGGCAGTTTGGACTAACCCATGTTTGTCCCAGTGCTTAGGCGAATGATGTCTGATTGTTCCTCATCTAATTATTCACGAATTCTTGTTTATTTTGAAATTTATCGCTTGTTTTATTAAATTCTTCAGAAAAACGGGAAAAATGAGACTGTCGTTAATGGTTGTAAGTAGACGGTAGGAAACTCTGGATCTAGGTTTCGTACCATTTGGCACTTGTCATCAAGATTTGTCTGTGATCTTGAGGGAGATGGTGCTCGATTGTGTCATTTGTTTGTCAGTTTATGTACCTTTTGCCTTGGCCATACTATGATTTTACTTTTCTCAATATAAAAATATTCAGATAGGGGTTTTGTGGATATTATAGTAATTTAATTATTGAATTCTTGAGTCAATTAGAGGTAGACCACCATGGAAAACTGGAAGCACTAGACGGCCGTTTCTTCCTAGTATGGGATTCTTCAGCAGTGCGTGTCCACGATCCCACCTCGCGAGATTCAAATCGAGAATGATAGACCCTAAGTTCGAGCCTCTCGAGGCAGAATCGTGGATATGCATTGCTGAGAAGCCCCATACTAGGATGAAACGGCCGTCCAGTGCTTTTAGTTTTTCAATGGTGGTCTAGTTGCACTTGACTCATGAATTCAACAATTAAAATAAAAATATTCGTTAGTTCGGGGGTCTTCGAGATTGTTGAATGTCACTGAGTTCACAAACCTGCCTGGTTTAGACAACCGTTGAAAACGTTAAAGCACTGAATGATGATTGCACCTAGTATGAGGCTTTGGTGGCTCGTGGATCTGACTCCAAGATCGTATAGATGTTTGTTATCGCTGATTTTCGTATATCATCGTCGACTTAAATCGCGTTATCCAATAACGGAATTAAATAAGTGGAATAACGAGGATCGACTTGAGAATACATATATTTCGTACATAAAGCGAATGAAGCATAGCAAATCAAAAATGACACGTATGGAAGATGGCTGGGAAGCCAACTCCATCTTTGTCAAACGTTACTCAATATTTATAGTCAGACAAAATAAAGCTACAGACATGTGATTAATGGAATAAGAAGGGCACACACATATACGCTCATATAAAAACAGTCTAGATTGATAAGCGAATAAATAACAAGGTCAATGTATGGCTCAAGTAAAATGAATAGAATGGGATGTCCGAAAGCTCGAATAAGGTATATGGGCTTGGCATAATAACTGACACTACAGGCTCATTACCCCTACCACAAGTTACTGAACTCGTGCAAACACTTAACCTGTAAATCACAGCCGAAATTCAATGGTATACTTGTCTAACTTAGATATCTTCTTACATGCTTTAAAGTCTATCAAAATTAAGATTTTCGTATTCGTTATTTCTACCTTTTCTCTTCTTTTCTTTTTAAAAGGATTTCGCATTTATTCTCTCTGGAATGACTCGCTTATTAAATAATCCATTAGTACAAACATACCTTCCTGGATCCAGCAAAAAAGTTCAAATGCATCAGGAACTTTTAGTGTTCTTTTGGCGAATATGCGAATGCAATAAGAAATTTATGTATTACGTGTTAAAATCAAGTCAAGTATTAGATTTAATTGTACCTATACTCTATCATCTTAATAATTCTCGTAATGACCAATGTAAGTTGGTTTTTTCTTTATTGAGGGACGTATACCATTATTACTACTATTATTATAAGAAAATGTATAGCTTGTTTAAACATGAATTAATTCATCAAGTTATTGAATACTAAAAGCCTTTTTAGTGTCTTACTTATACTTAAATCATGAATTACATACATAACTCAAAGAAGATAACTTTTCTAATCGATTTACAATGATGTTGATTTGTATTTGATATACTTATCGTTTTCATTGTCATTTTCGCTAATATTGTTTACTTGATATATATACTTTTTGGTTTCGAACACATAGTGGATACTATCTTGTTCAATCTTTGATTTCATTATGTTCTTTTGACTTGTTTGACACCATTCAATAAAACTAACAGTATTACAACAATCTACAATATACTAAAATGGTTAACAAGCGACTGTCAGGGTATATTGTTGTTATCTTCGCTAGTTTTTTTTTTGATGTGAGAAAGAATAAGTACAGGTAGTGGGGTCATGAAATTTTACGAAGGGATATCTTCTCAGTGGATTTATTACCATTAGATACTTTCGTTGAATTTTCTATTTTTGATGTTTTATTCAAAATTATACTGAAAGACGAATATAATACATTTTATTACAATTCGAAAGTCGCATAAAATTTTCTATAAATTCATTTCTAAACAATATGTATTTCAATAATCTAATTATTTATTTTCTATCGCTAAATTGAAATTTGTTTTGAATGAAATTTCAACCTCTCTAAATACTAATTGAACTCACAAAAAAGAAAAAAAATTATTAATTGGAAATTCTGGATACTTAAGATAACTTTTGAAACTTATCTATTCTATAATTCATCTTATGGAAATTTGAGTTGAATATTTTTGTGCTAAAGTTTGCTGCGTTACTAGTTTTCGTTTACTTAACACTTAAAAGAACTCTGTCATTCTTTTGATTCGCTTATATTTTAGTATAATGTTTTGATACATAATCTTCAAGAGCGTTATGAATATAGTTATCTGCGCGAGTTATACACTATAGGATCCTCCTTCTTATGGGTGTAATGAATGTTCTGGTAGAAACTCGGATTCTGTCTGTTATAGGAGAATAGGGAGAACCTTTATCCATTGGTATTGAAGTCAGAGTTGAGAATTTTTAGTTTGGGACATAGATATTTTAGTTATCGATTCAAGTTAAAGAACGTAAATAACACCAGTTAAATAAAAAGAATTCCTTGGAAGGTAAGTTTAGTAGTAACACTGAAGTGACTGTTTAGTGGTTAAAGCACTCAGTTTTCAGCCAATAAATCACACTTTGGAAACCTATTCTATTTACATCAAATCAGTTAGCTGGCTATAATCGTTCGATATCACAAAGAAGTGTGACGTAAAGCCGAGTATATGAATCTGTACTTTTTAAATGTGCCGTTCGTATCCATTAGTTAAAATTTGTTATTAGCTTCCTAACACCATGGGTACTGTTCTGACAGAATTATGGATGGAACTTTTCAAACAATTATTATTATTATTATTATTATTATTATTATTATTATTATTATTATTTACATTCTTATCATATCGTTAGTAGAAAACTGTATTATTGTGTTTCTATGTTCTCTTCATGGTAAACTTCCAAGTCGACCTATTAACTGTCGTTATACGTTAAACTGTCCGTAGTTATTGCTAATTAGCTGTGTACTATTTGTTCTGTCTTTTTTCACTTATGATATGATTGTGTCTATATCGCGATTCCTTATTTGGTGTACTGTGCGGTCTAATAATTCATGTATATAAGCTAATGGATGTTTGAGATAGTTGTTGCTTAGTCTGGATTGTTGAAATGCACACATTATTTGAAGCTAGTTGTTAACTTCTCTTCAGACACAAGACAATGGGTTGAGAAAAGTTCTTGAACAGCCGAACGGTAGGAGTGTGGCTTGCGTTGGCTCAAGGTTAACTGTTCAGGTCCGAACGTAAAGTCGGACGCTAGGCTATATAGACGGAGTGTTGACTCGTGATAAAAAACCATAGAATTCTGACTGGTGAATTTAGCATGTGATATCGGTTACTGTCTTAATTCGTAACATGTATTTCAACAACACTAGATTTCTCTATACTGCTTAATTTAGTGACTGTTAATTACCAACACTAACAAATATACTCGGTTCCGCGGTACTTTCTATGTATGACGACTTATGATACTATTCATCTGTTGTAAATAAGTAGGTTGGGGGTGAAGTTAGATTCGGCGACCCAATGTTTATAGGTTATTTAATCTGACCATTGATTTTTCCATTTACCAATATTTCGTTTCACTATTGCACGTTACGATCAGTAACTGATTCTATTTAATAACTGTCACATTTCTTTTAGGCAGTCATTTTTATGTTTTCTGTTCTTCTGAATTAACTTCATAACAATTGAATAAGAAAAAGAGAATTCAGCGAAGAAAATTTTCTTTTCGACGAAATCATTTACTTAAGCTGTACATTCGTATATATAGTTATATGGAAAATGTATGTCTATAGAAGGATAGAAAGGATTGTATCACGAAAAATGGATTCGACAATAAATAGCAAATGAGGTTAACGTACTAATCAAGGGGAAAGGAAGAACAAAATTTAAGGGTCAGATGATAGTCCAATTGACAGATTGACAGATATGAAGAAAAACGACAAAACAACAAAGGTCATAATAATAAACTGAATGATAATCAAGAAAACTTGTAAAAGGTAATAATAATAAATGATTAAAGTTTAAAGTGCAAAATAGTAATTTAAAAATATGGATAATAATAAAAGTACATTAGAAAAAAAAACACCTAGCAACATACCCATTAGGGCCAAGGAAGGATAAGAGGTTGGACAAATCGTTTCTGCACACAAAGTTCAGGCTTTAGTTTGTGGATTGCCAATGCCTCTGCGGTGCATAAAATATTGATTCGAACCCCCTTCGATCCAGTTCCTTTGACTCTGCAAACTATTTTAAACGAAGAGTCTTTTGGAGCGATATGTCCACAGTTGATTAAGTGCTCCTGTATAGAACTCGTGATTGTTTTTCGCTCCCCTCTCAAAAGCCAAGCCGGATAATGTTCCGAGATGCATTTGGATAATGATCGCTTTGTGCGGCCTATGTAACGTGCCCCACATGAGCAAGTAAATTTATAGATACACATTGAAGTGGCCCAAAGCGAAAGTTTTTCCTTCGCTGAATTCTCTTTTTCTTATTCAATGACACTATGGGTTATTTTAATTAATAACAATTCAACGTCAAACATCAACGTAGCCTAGTTGTTTAGTATCGTGAATTTTATCTGATGTTATTGTTTACGTTACATTACAATTTGTTTATTATTACATCATCTCAGAAACTTTACAGTATAAAACTGTGTATGCTCGTACATTTTGTTCCTAATGATTTCTATTTCTACAATCAGTGATGTGCACTACTGTCAAATACATTCACATCTTGTGATGATTATTTAATTTATATTTTCATCATAATATTCTTGGTTTATTTTTCTCTCAGCTCGTATAGGATTAATACACGTTGGTGTATTCATCTTATTATTACTTAGCGGTGAAAGAAATTTTGGTGTGCGTTTAAATAAACCTTATCGCCATCGTTCCTTGTTAGATGTTCCAGTGTTTACAGGAACACATGCTGATTTATTAATCATAGTATGTAATGAATTATTAGCGTTATTATAACCTTTTATTTGTTTAAAAAATATTTTTTTTGATTCATTTATTTGTAACTTTATAGTATGATATTAAAAGCAAATTCCCTACTCATTGAATTGGTTCTCACCAATTTTTTTGTAAATTTAATTATCACTTCTTTCTCTGTATATGGTTCATTTAATATAATACTTGAATTCATTGAATAAATCACGAATTCCCATGCATTAATATATCTACCTACTTGTATCTCGTTAATTAGATTGTAGAGTATTCACCTTCTATAAATAAGCAGATCTTTGACAGTGACCTTTGTAATTAATCGTTTAGTAGGGATATATATATATATATATATATATATATATATATTACATTATGGACTGGATCTAGCTAGATCATTTATCAATGAGGAGGCATTGGACATCTGTTCCATCCTTGAATGAACCATTTTCTGAATGTAGACTCACAACCTCTTCAGAATATGAGCCCAGGGTTTCCTTTGGTTCTGTTAGTCATATATAGTAACCAGAAGAGTTCACCTGTGTCAAGGCAACCACCAGTAAATAATGACTACTCAATGGTGTGAATCGAAGGAAAATAAAAATCCGAGCCATTGAATGGCAACTTACTGGTTTATAAGTAATCCACACCTTTGTCGGAAAGTATAAAGGTCTCAATTTCTATCTTCTACATTACCATGGGTACACGCAGCTATACAGTTCCATATTAAGACAAAATATTTAAATGTCGCTAGATTTTATTAGTCCTTCAATACCATATATACATGTAATCCAGCGCATCATGTAAGTTGGGCTTTAATTTTCATTCACGACAAAGTTCAGTTATATTCACTTACTGATCTTATTGTTTATTTATTTGAACACATAAATATTTGTACAAAAGGGCACCGAATATATACGCACCACACAACTCACTTGATTTATGTGTGGACTGTGATACTACCCGAGTGCCCAAACAGAAGCAAGTAGTTTTTTTAGGGGGTCACACCCGAGGCCTTCTACCTCAAGGTCTCATCCACAAGGCAGTGGAGCAACGTTAGGAGATGCAGTCCCATGGTAGCCGGTGACCAACGATTGGTTCATACTCCATTTGTTCCCTCAGGGTATTGGAGCCCATGTGCATCACTGGTTTGGAACCAGGGTTTTCCAACTCCCCTAGGTAGACCCTCTGTGTCCAGCAACCCGGTTAAAGTGCCGGACATTTGGTTTTCGTAAACAACGCCCTCGCCATGAGAAGACATTGAGTAGGACTTCCCTGACAGTGGCTGTATACGCGTAGCCATGTGAGAGTATTTCAAGAGGGAGAGTTGACTCTCCCCACCCTCTGTCATATCAGGGCATTTGGGGGCCACCTACTGATCACTAATGTTTATAGGATCTAGAAGCTTGTACTGATAAACAAATCAGTATTGTCAGTTATAGAAATACATATACTAATCATCGTCTGTTCACCAACAATCCCTTTTTTACTACAATTTACAGCATCTTTGTTACTTGTAAATTATAATCATCATCATCATCATTTAATATCCTGTCGATTTTTTGTTGTTGTACCGGTTGTTTTTTTTGCCACCTGGCAATCGGTTTTCTTCAGACCTCATAGAATCCATGATTGGTCATTATTATTATTATTATTATTTTGTTATTCTAGGTTTCTCATAGATTAATTACAAGCGGACATAATCGTCTAAATCCTTTATTCGATTGTTTGCTAACAATCATAGCTAATGGTAAGCCATCATATACTTTTTTATTAAGCTTGCCAATTTACTATATATTTACCCAATCAATGTAAGGATCCTTTGTGTTGATTCTTTGATTGTGATGTTCATTTTTTTCTAACCGTTTAATTAGGTCATATGTTATTGTCGTACCGTTAAACTTATTGTTTACAGAATTGACAGACGATTGTTTAAATGTCTGCATTGTCTTTATGTATTGGGTCTGTTGTTCAATCGAAAATTCCTCATGTTAAATTTGCTTTACCATACCACATTTTTATTTTGCGAAACGAACGAGACCACATTTTATACCGTGTGTGCTTCAAGGTTACAGGTTATATATCGGTCAAAAATACAGACTAGTGACCTCATCATGAATACTATCAGTCAGGAGGACTTAATAAGCTAATTTTAATACGTTAAAGTGTTAAGGGTGACGCTGATTTGAAATTGTAGACGTGAAGCAGTCGTAAGACAATCCCAAACAATATCGATATTTTTTTAGCGTTTCGGTAAAAGAAATCAATTGTAAGCAATAATTTTCCCCTTCGTCAACTGGAAACTTAGATAAATCATGTTACTTATATTACACTGATTAAGTGGAACTCGACCATCTACTTCAAAGCGAGTTTGGCAGATGCTTCGTGCACTGCAAAGAAATCTACTCCTGAATTTTGAAACAGCTACCATTATCTCTTGCCTATACGTGGGGAGTTGTTGAAATAGTTAAGAGTCATATAAAATCTGTTCATGACCGTTAATAAGCTGTCAAGGAAGGATAGTCTGAAGTAATATCCTGTACTTATATGCCATAATTTTGAATGATATGATTTGCCTTAAACTTAGTCATTTTTGAATAACCTATATGCAAATCTGTAAAATCTCATAATTTATCAAGTAGAATATCTGCATCTATCTCATGCGGGTCGGTTTTTCACCGAATGTTCTTCGACTTCAAGATAGACGAATAAAACAGCCATTTTCTTAATTGCCCAATAATTATATATTCTCTATTCTGATTGGCTGTAAGCTATGAAAACGTGCTCCATTTCCATTTAATAGAAGTAGCTCAAGATGATCCTTTGTCTTATGCATAAGTAAGTTACTAAAGTGAACCAGACAACTATAAACAACATATGAACCTGACAAAACTGTTTCGGTTCAAGTTGATGCACCATATTAGCACAACTTGGTAAAATCGTCAAGAAAAATGTTTTGCAATGGTAGTAGCATCAAGATTAGTGGTCGTAGAAAACATTACGTATAAACAATGTGATTCGAGAGGAAAACGTGGATTTCCTGAATGAAAGTTAAAAATTATTTCGAAACTCAAAATCTAGAGGAAAAGTGAATACATCTGCGCCGTTCCAACCAATTATAAGCAATATAATTCAACGCCTCCAATCACTGGTCACTACCATCGTACGATCCTGAACCTAGTCTGTACAAGCGAAATTTACCACATTCTCAAGCATTTAAACGGAATAGGGTAGTGACTTACAGTGAAATTCAAGATGCGCGTTCCACCATACTTGGGGCTTGTCAGCTAGATGTACCTGGGTCTCAGTTTTGATGTTCAAATAAAAACTCAAACCCAATACTTTTAGCTTCTAACTCCCACCTCGTTATCCACTTAGCAACGAAGTCTAGGCAGCCATTTATTTGTGCAACTGGGTAAATTTAATTCGTCTTATTGGTTGATTTTCAAACGGAACTGATCAACTGCAGTCCATAACATCAACATAAAGTTTCAGGCAACCAAGATAAATGAAATTACCACAATCTCTTCATTACAAATTTCACGATTGTTTTCTCCACCGTTTATTCACAACTGTTATTGAAGTAGTTAATGTATCCTGCTCCACTTGTATGTTTATTTTCTCTCAAAAATCTTTTTCCCCTAACTAGTTTCACCTTACTTGAAAAGTTTATCAATGGTCTCATCAAACAAAATATTACATTTATTGGATGCATTCAGTCAGCCATGGTTTTTGTACAGTAATCCATCAAATCATCAGTTAGTCTTTCTGTTATTAGAAGTATTCAATAATATTATTCAATATCAATTTGATGGTAAGCGTGTTTAGATTATCTATTCTCATTTTCTTTGTTTATCATTTAGTCTATCGTTAGTTTTATAGAGCGGCAGTTTAGTGGTTAAAGCATCTGACTTTCAACCAGTAAGTTACGGGTTCGAACCCCGCCATGTCAATTTTTCTGCATTATTATCTCTCAGATGTAATTTTTCATGAAATATGTATTGATCCAATCTGTCCTGCTAATTACTGTAAATACAAAATACTCTCTTATCTGTTAAATGATATTACCAATAATTTGCCTGCTTAATCCGCTAATTCTCATTACTTTTTCGAAAAAACTCACTTTTATATTCTGATGTTCAGTCTTCTCTGGTCATGGCACCACTTGACTCTCCCCAATTCAGAACAAAGGTTGTAAGCGAGAAAATACATTTTGCAACAAACCTGAACAATGGGAATACAGTAGCAAAAATGTTTGAGTTGGTAACGAATTTGCGTATGGATCTTATAGGTTGTCGATTCGTTTACTGACACTTTGGTTAAAAATAGACTGATCAGCTTTTCCTACTTTTAGCGCCTGACCAGATAATGCAATATTTAGGACTTTTTGCCAACCCTAACCAAGTACAAGTTTATATACCTTTTCTGGAGATGTAGTTTTAAATGTGAGGGCTGGTGATACCATTTGGCTATCCATACCAAACTGGGTGAATAATTGTTCGAATCTGCAACTTAGCTGTGCCTGTAAGCTGAGTCGTTATATCACTAGATCATCTTTGTCAGTATATGTTATTTAATTTTGTGCAAATTCTTCATTCAGTACCTCTGTACGTTAGTAACACATGAATAAACTGTGATATTCGGGTTGTAAATATCGTTAACGATATCTAGTTCTCTCGAAAATTACCCTCTTTTAAGGTTTATTTATAATTATGAATTTTTCGGAACATTGACTAAGTGGTTAAGACATTCGGCTTTGAGCCAAATATCAGGTTCCAACTTCACTCCACCCTCTTTGTTTTGTTCAGCCGGTTAGAATCATTACACGTCGCACCGAGAGTGTAGCTTAAAGCTAATTATATAAATATGTAAGCGAGTTAATAATCTAATTAATAGGTCTGGATTCATTGTGCCAGCAATTATTTCTTTTGTAAGATAACTTTCTTCTAACCAATCGAGTACTTTTCTTGTATTCATATCAAATGAGTTCTTGCTTTGCGATTATTTTATCGCATAAACCTTGTTTAAATTTCGCTTTATTTCTTATCTATCCTTCTCTCTCTCTCTCTTTCCAGGTAATAGTAATTTAGTATATACTTTAATAAGGAAACGTCAAATATTTTATCGGCTAGCTAATTTACCCACTGATCAACCTACTATTCATAGTATAGTTAATAAACAAATGAAATCTCAAAGCAGTGGTCATATTACAATGGAATCTACTACTACTGTTCCTTCTAGTACTTCATCTCGAACATCTAGCAGCAGTGGTGGGATTAAAAAATCTGTTGACACTTCTGTTTGTAAACCTTTACCAATATCGGAAGTAGCAAAATCTTCATCTACTTCCACTTGTTTATCTGTTGAATCATCTGTTTATCATAATGACGATAATGATAATGTTGGTAATAGTAATGTTGACAATTCAAGTATTGTCGAGTCCATGGATCAAGTATCTTCTCGGGTTTGTTTTGTTTCGTTTATGTGTATAGAGTAAAAATGGAATGCTTTGCTCATGTTTCTATCGATTTTGTACACAAGGTCTTCATCGGCAAAGTTATTTATAAGTTCTCAACAGACCCTCAATCGATCTAGCTTTCTTCTAGTAGGAAATGTCAGTTTCAATTGAGAAAAATAAAAATACGGATAACAAATTCATCTCAGTGTATATCTTGATCAGTAGCATCTAAACTGTCGATGCTTATGTATACAAATCAATGAACTGATGGTTTGGGAAGGTTTATGCTGTTGTTAATTTGAATAATCTATTCTGACAATCATTATACAATTCATTCCAAAAGTGAACTGTATCTTCGATGCCTAATCTTTTCTGTTACTACTCAATAGAAGACCCTCGCTCCTTCTGGAACACTTGTTTAGACTCTGATCGTCCTCTAATAGGAGCACGCCTTTGCTTGCACCCTACTATAAGCAGAGAAACCACACTAAGAAGACCCATAAGAGTTGGACTCAACGATGAGAAAACCAAAGATAAATTTCAAGAACAACTGAGACCACACTTAGGCAATTTCGAAAATGAGACTGACCGAGATGTTGCTTAGAATGATATACGAACAGCTGTGGAAACAGCGGCGACATCTATTAGTGATTTAAACCAAAGGATTACGAAACACCAGTGGATTTCTGCAACATCTCTTGCACTGATAGACTCTCGTAAACTCTGAACACGATGAAGAGCGAAAACAGATCAGGTCTAGGTTAACTAAAAATTTACAAAACGATCGTAAGCAATGATAGACAACGAAAGCAAAAGTGATGGAACCGGCAGCGACTGTATGCAGCACCAGACAGCTTTTCAGACTAATAAAAGAAACTGGAATTAAGATGTCTAGTGTAAGTGAGACGGTCTCGGAAAAGGACGACACCCTTATCTGCTCTCAGCTCAGACGTTTAGAACGATGTGAGAAACACTTTAAGGAGAAGTTCAGCTGGCCTTCAGCTACTCTACAACTACTCACTATTCTCATATAGCCTGAATGGAACATTGAAGTGACCCTCCCGACCCTAATTGAAGTTCAAAAAGCCATAGATAATCAGAAACAAGGAGGAGCAGCTAGTCCAGATTGATTAACTACAGAGGTTTTTAAGGATAATGGTCTAGTTTTAGCGATTAGGTTGACTAATATTGTAGCTCAAATATGGGAGTTGGATGTGATCCCATCTGACTGGTCGCAATAACTAATCGTCTCAATATATAAGAAAGGATCATCCTGTGATAACCACAGAGGGATTAGTTTGACTAATATAGCATCTAAAATACTAGCCTCAATAGTTATCGGACGCCTAACAAAGACTTGTGAACTGCAAACACGAGAAAATCAGGCTGGTTTCAGATCTGGTCGTAACTGCATCGACCACATATTCACCATTCATCAGATCCTAGAACACAGATATGCTTATCGGCGTCCGACAATGATAGTTTTTCTTAACCTAAAAACATCATTTGACTCTGTAGACCGAGAGGTTTTGTGGTAGTGTCTGTAACCTCAAGTAGTGCCTGGAAAGACTGTCCACTATCTCCCTTTCTGTTTAATTTTATCTCAGACCTGCTGCTGGAAATAACGTTCTCGTCGACTGAATTTTCGGGAATCTTTCTCCTACCAGGAGGTCCACTTATTGACTTAGAATACGCAGACAACGTAGTCCTGTTTGTTGAAGATGCAGTCTTTTAGTAGCACTGAGCAACAATGCCAGGATGTTTGGAATGCGTTTTTCCCCCCTTTAAATGCAAATTTTTGCTTCAGGACTGACCTGAACTAAGGATAGGAAGTGAAGTAGTCGAACGTGTTGACAACTTCACTTATCTTGGAAGTCTGATCAGTCCTAATGGGTTGGTGTCTGATGAAACCTCAGCACAGATTCAAAAAGCTCGTTTGGCTTGTTCCAACTTACGTCATCTATAGCGAAGGCGAGATATCTGTCTACCAACTAAGTGACGAGTATACTGCGCTGCAGTTCGTTCTGTTGTACATAACGGCTGTGAACCATGACCATTAAGAGTAGAAGATATACGTAAGTTTTAAGTATTTGATCATAGATATCTCAGAAATACTGCTCGTATCCTCTGGGATCACTGGGTATGTAATAGTGAGGTTAGACGTAGGGCATTAGGAAATGATAGTAAGTCAGTTGATGAGGTTGTGTCTTCATCGCCTGAGATGGTTGGGTCATGTGTTACGCATGTCCGACCACCGATTATGAGGGTGTGCAATGCTTACTAGCGTTGGAGACGGATGGAAAAAGTTAGGAGAGGACAAACCAAAACGTGACATTAGTCCCTGAAGTCACTAACGTGTTGTCTGAGCCATACCTGTATGTGAAAACTACTTGGTTTGGGTTCGGGTGACTATCGTAACCAAAGGTTGGAGTGACATGGCTCAGAGTCGATCACAATGTCGTTTATCTTTATGATTACTTACTGTATGATATTAAGTACTTTTTCATCCAGATATATAATTTTACTATCTAAGTATTACTCATAGTAATAATAATCGCTTTATTCAAGTTTATATGTTTAGTTGAATTTTGGATTTCCAACATCTTGGCGGTCTGTTACGCAACCAAACACGGGCATGAAAAATTTGGTCTCCAAGTAATTCAAAAAAGACCGTGACACATTCTCTTATGAACCAGTTGCGGGTTATTAATTGATCATGTAATGACTGAAATCCTACAAAGTTCAGCACCTTAGAATCTCAAAGTTTACACTACAATTATAGCTTTCCCTATCTTCTTCCTCCAATGTTCTGTATAGGTGACTGTGTCATATATCACCTCCTGGAACACCTTCGAAATGCTATGTGTCTCGTCGTAAAACAGTCCAGAAATTAGTTTCACATCTACGACAAGCTAAATGACGAATGCTAGTCTTTTTAATAATCTAAGTTTTGTTACGTAAAATGTTGCAACATCATTTAGCTCCTCCTTTGCTCAAAGCTTTAGTACGTTTTTGAACGATCAGATATAATTTAAACCTAAGTACAATTCGACTTGTAAAAACTAAACTATAAAAAGTATTTTCGTAAACTAACATTTATTGCTTCAAACTTCCATAATTTTATTTTTCAGTGATATCGTCCTTTGAAAATATTCTTTTTTTTTCAATTTTTTCTAACCAAGTTAAATGAACTAAGTGTTGGTAAACCTGGCGATTCGATTCAAGCCAGTCTAGCTGATGTCCCTCCATTGCATAAAATGACAGGTAAACGTTTAGGCAATGCTACTCAATTAGATGAACGTTTCTCAAATTATCATTCAGAAATCGAGAATCATTTAATATCACATTCTTCACCTAGTCAGCGTATTCCAGTGGATAGTAATAATAATGGTAATAATAACAATGAATCTGATAAAGATTCAACAATACATAATGTTCAAGAATGCCCAATAAATAGATCTGGAATTTCAGAAAGTTCTGTAAGTCATTCACTTTATCTGTCTGTAAAAAAACGTTTTTTAGTAGGTTTTATTGGTTCCCGTGTGATTGAGCAGCGATCATGAAAAGTAGTTGTCTGAATCTCTCTCTTTAGTCCGGTTATCAATTAGTCCATATAAATTGGCTGTAGGACTGATGACATTTTAAGTATCGATTGGCATATCGACCAATGAATACTAATCAAGATGTTAACGTTTATTGATCGTTAAGAACCTTCTAACCTAATGGTCATTCAGAATTGAATACCTCAAGTGGTGTTCGTCCGGGCTATCCACTCTTTCCATTCTTGTTTAACTTTGTCGTTGACGTGCTTTTAGAGATAACATTTTCCAGGAGTTTAACTTTTACTGAGAGATTCACTTGTTGACTTAGAATATGCCGATGACATAGTTCTGTTTGATGAAGACGATGACAAAATGCAGATTCTTTTGACCACTCCAAGAAACAATCCAAGCATGTTCGGGATACAATTCTCCCTCTCGAAATGCAAAATTTTGCTTCAGGATTGGGTTGCATCGACACCCGGAATAATGATAGGGAGTGAAGCAGTTGAGCGTGTCGATCGCTTCACTTATCTTGGGAGTTTCATCAACCCTTGTGGTCCAGTGTGTGACGAAATCTCAGCACGGATACAGAAGGTTCGACCAGCTTTTGTCATTTATGGCGTAGGCGAAATATCCGTCTACCAACCAAAGGACGTGTTTACTGTGCGTCAGTTTGTGCCATCCTATTTTATGGCAGTGAAACATGGCCGGTAATAGTAGAAGATATCCGTAGGTTACTAGTATTTGATCATAGGTGTCTTCGAAACATTGCTCGTATATCCTGGGACCATCGAGTAAATGACGCAGTTGTTAAGAAACGGGTACTAGGTAAGGATGGCAAATCAATTGATGACGTAGTGAAACTTCATCAGTTGAGATGGCTGGGACACGTGTTACGTATGCCCAACCACCGACTGCCTCGACGTGCGATGCTCAATGGTATAGGAGTAGGTTGGAAGAAAGCTAGGGGCGGCTAGACCAAAACATGGCACAAGTCCATGAAGCCACTGGCAAGTGGACTGAGTCATGTTGGTAGGTGTAGACTACCTGGTTGGGGACCGCGAGATGATAGCAACCGATGGTTAGAGACCCTGAATGACATGGCTCAAAATCGTATGCAATGGCTCAGGTGCATACACTCTTTGTGTTCTCCCAAATTTTAATCTCCCGATTCCTATTTGTCTCTTTTTTCTCTTCCCAAATTTATTTCACTGGATTATACTCTTTAAATAACATCTCCAAACCCTAATCTTCCCGATTACTGCTTATACTCATACTACCTCTACCACTAGGGGATTTGGATCGACAACTGCATCTCTGTGCTAATGTGGTATGGCAACTCGAACTGATGTACGTACGTACGAAGTTCTACGTTTTTACTGACTGAATAGTCATTCAGAAGACAAGGGTTGAAAGCAGATCAGTTCTCTGTTGTACTCGACTTAGTCATACCTGCTATGTCTGACCACATAACAACATACTTAAGGAATTACAATGTGTACATAGCTTGGTCATAAATGATGTAAAACCAGAGCAAATGGGAAATAGTTGAGTTGGAACAACAAGATACATGACTCCGATTTATAGGTCAAACAAAATCTTAGAAATAGAAGAATATAAAAATACAAAAGTTTAGCGTCTATTAATTAAGCAATCAAAATATAAGTGGTAATTCTTCATACGTTACTCCCACGAGTTGTAATTTCTCACTACTCGTCTCATTATACCAGTCTCTCTGACGTTAATTTATAAAATGTTAATCCATTTTATCAATTGAATATAGATGGTATCATTAACATTAGTTCATTAGTCATTTAACGGATAATATTTGAGTGTCGATATATGTAAAGTGCAAAAATAAACTTCGGTTCGAATTGTCTATTCATATTTCTTGACATCGCTAAATTCACAGTCTATCAATAACTTTTCTAGCTTTTTTGAGCTAGTTGGCAGAAAACCCTACAACTAAGTTCTCTGTAGCAGGTGGCAACCATCATCGAAGGGTATTTGTAATCTTAAGAGAACTGATAATCCCTATGAAATCGGAATGCATATCATTCAGTTTTATAGTCTATAACATTATTAATGAGTTGTTTATATAAACTGTGACTAACCTTGAGTTGAACTGAAATATTTACAACTGTTTAGCAAATAATGATCAATGATCATATTCGAGTGTTGATCGAATTCTGTCGATCAGTTAATTTTTGTGAAGGATATAAGTTTCTCCTTTTAATAACAATAATATTCTGTTCATTTTTCTTTTTTTATTTCATCAGCTGATAAGTACAAATCAGACGAAAGAAACACAAAACAGTTCATTAACTTCTGATACACAATCTTTTCATTCCATTGGAACAATCACATGTAAGCAATCACGCACCAGTGGTAGAAGTAATTCATCTCATTCAGTTAATGATAATAATGATAAGTTACAAAAATTGAATGAAAGAAATTCATCGAATTGGGAACCAACATCAGAATGGGTTCATAGTTGGAAATTAAAAATGCCTTTTCAAACAATTATGCGTTTATTGCAGGTATTAGTGCCTCAAGTTGAAAAAATCTGTATTGATAAGTAAGTTCTGATACTATTATTACTTCCCATTTTCTGTGATCTTGTCATTGAATTAAAGTTGTTTGAATATCTAGCTGTAAAATATGGTCAGTTATAAGTAGTGTAGAACTTAGCGCATATGTGGATCGGTTCACGTTTCCTTTACATGTAACTCAAGAAGATTTGGCAATGCCATGCTCGTCATAGCCATTCAGTTTCTTCGTTTTTATTAACTCTGACATAGAAATTCTTTAAGAGGTAACACCCTCTTCGTTTGACTTTTCAAGAGATTGACTCGTTGACTTAGAATACTTAAATGGTATACTTCTGTTTAGCTGAGACGCTGGCAAAATGCAGATTCTTTTGACCTTTAAGCAGCAATGCAAATATGTTGGAATGTGATTCTCCTTCCAAATGAAAAACGTCGCTTCAGTGCTGACGAGCTCCAGTGTCTGAATTGATAACAGAGTGAAGTAGTTGGGTGCGTCGATTATATCACTTATTTTAAGTGTTTCATCAGTCCTGATGAGCTGGTGACTGACGAGATCTCGGTACTTATTCAGAAAGTTCCGTTGGCGTTTGCCAACGTGGGTCACTTGTAGCGCGGATGAGATATCCGTTTTTCAACCAAAGGATTAGTTTACTGCCCAACACCTCACTCCGTTCTATTTTATGACTGAAACGTAACCTTTGAGAATACAGGATATTCGTGGATTACTACTATCCGATCTTAGGTGTCTTCGAAGCATTTCTCGTGTATTTTTGGACCATTAAGTACGCAATCCTAATGTTACACAAAGGGACCATTAAGGGTTAATGAAGCAGTAAAGCTTCAACTAAGGTGGTTAGAACATGAATTACTTTGATTTGAACAGACAATTAGTATAACTATCATCATTGTTAGGCTTAAAGTCATGTACGTGAACTTGAACGTTGTAAATCAATTATATTATACTATTAAATATTTCAAAGATGTTTATATTTTTGATAAGTGAAGCTTGATGAAAAAACAAGACACAAGAGCATGAAGTGTTGAAAAAATGGGTAAAGCTGATTACAAAACTTGGAAAAAAAGATCTTATAAGCCACATCGAATCACCACCATATTATATACATTCGAGGTCTATCGCTTTTTTGTCGATTCTGACGGTCTGTTTACTCATTTATTTGTTGGGTACTAAGAGGCGTAAAGTATTCCATATCTGGCGCCACTCAAAATCATTCCTATATAGTGAAGGTTCACTGAAAGTCCAGTACTTTCCTTCACTTCCATTTCATCCTATTCTGGCCATATCATAGTGAGCAAAGTAGAATGCAGAGTGATTTAAAAAATATAGAAATCAGGTGGATGATTTTGGTGTTGTTTGATTCTCTAAACATGATGGTTTATTGGCAGAATTTTCATTGTTATTCTGGACAACATCAGCACCTCATGCAAGTAAGAGCTGATGATGCTGTCCAGAACAACAACAATAGCTTCATCATTAAATCTCTGAAAACTCAGCAATATCTAGAGAATAGAGAGTTGTATGTATGGGGATGATTAATTGTGATGACCAACAAGTTTAGTTTCTCACTTATCTCTCAATGTACAAAACATATTGCACTCTGTTCCACTGTAATGATTAATTAATGTATAATGAAATTTTGTTTCGTTTTTTTAGAGGATTAACAGATGAAACGGAGATTGTTCGTTTCCTTCAAAATGGTACTCTGGTTGGTTTGTTACCTGTACCACATCCAATTCTTATCCGTAAATATCAATCAAATACTGGTACAACCATATGGTTTCGTAACTATTTATGGGGTATAATATATTTAAGGTAAGTTTGCGCATTGTGTATATACTATCTAACGTTTTAACGATAATAATTTCCGTAATTATGAAGTATATTTTCACTGTTTAGCTAATTACGCTTACCTTGACGCGGTATGTTTTCCATTGTGGGGAAGTAGGCTGGGAAAAGGCATTTAGAGGCTCCTAAATCAAGATATGGCATTATCCCATGAAATCATTGACTGTTGGAATGAGCTATGTAAGTAGATTTCGATCGCCTGGTAAGGGATCCTCTCGGTAACTGCGGTCACTGGTTGGAGATGTGTAAAATGGCTCATGGTCGGTCCATATAGCGTAGATTCAGTCACTTTTTTAGATGGTTGGGAAGATCTGTAGATCAAGTGGATGGTTTTAGTGGAGTCTTGTTGTCTGATTTGGAAAAAAAAGCCCCGTCAAAATCATCCACTTGAACTACAAATTTATTTCACTATTGAGTATATTGCAATAACAATAGCGTAGATGTATAAATTATCGTAAAGTAAACTGTTTATGTTTATAGTAATAGTGAGACTGTAATTTATGGTCTTTTAGGGGTGCCAAATTGATCTTAAGAAAATTCACCTACTTTCTAAAGTCAAGAAGAGGTTATAAATTGGCATGAGGAAATAGAATTAAGACTAATACTTAAAAGTTAAGGTTTTCACCACGAAACGACATCAGCTATGATGCTCAGATGCTATTGAACTACATTAAATGAATGAATCTCGCACCAAAATCCAATACTTGCTATCTTGGCTTTCATTCGTTTGTCTGTAGAAATTAATTTCCTCTATATCTGACTCCAATAAATAGTATCTCGTTAACTGAGTATTTAATGCAGGCTAAATCTTCTGGTAGAATTATGGATTTACTCGAGATTATTCAAAAACCCAAACACCAGTTATAGAGATAATTTATTGTTAAAGCTTGGTAAAATCGGCAAGCATGCAGAAAGCAAGCACACAGGGAAACGAGTGAATGTATATGTGAGTATTAGAAGTCCATATATATTTTTGAGTGTTAATTGTTTGTGGATAAATTATTGATTGTCTCTGTGTTACAACCAATGGGACATGCGCTTAATCAGACTCGCACATAAATTTACATAGTATATTAAATGTCTAGATTACAGTGAGTAGACAAATAATACAATAGTTGAATGAGCTTACTACACGTCCATAAATTATTATAGTCTTATCGATAGAGATTGATAGATTCGTAGATATTTAGGTAGTTTCATAAAAAGTTGTACCAGAAAATGATCTACAACTTAAGGTACACTGATTTTATTCATAGTTAATCGATCCAAGTAGTTCATATCACATTTGTAAATGTTATTCTAAAATGTATTATAATACATACAGTATTAATTTACATATTTTAACATATTGATTGTTATATTCTTATTTGATGAATAGAATCTATTTTTTAAAATTGTCTTTCAACATTTACCAGTTAAGATTTATTGTTTTATTTATTTATTTAAACACATAAATATTAGTACAAGGAGGCACCAAATATTTATACGCCACATTTCACCATTCGGTTTGTGTGAGGAGAGAGCGCCAATATTTATTTATTTGAACACATAAATATTGGTAGAAGAGAGCGCCAATATATATGCGCCACACAAAACAATCAGAATTCGAGGAGAAATAGAAAAAAAAGAGAACAATAACGAAGAGATTGGTGTAAGGTAGTGTGGTAGTAATGAGGGAACCCAAAGGTACAATCGGAAGAAATCTTTCAGGTAAGGGAGACACAACCTTTTTTATGAAGAAAGTAAAAGAAGGTTACAGCAGGATCGCCACTGGCTTCTATTCTGAGCCATATCTGATAACGTCTCTAGCCACTGTGTAGCACCATCCCTCAGACCCCAACCAGGGAGTCGTGAAGAACCAACACACGCCAGTCCTTTGCAGCTTTCTTTCATGCCACGACACCATGTCATGCACTGACCACCTCTGCTTTTTCCAAACAGTCCCAGAGTCGGCAAATAATGCACGACGTGGAATTCTCTGGGACGACATTCGGAGAACATGTCCAAGCCACCGAAGACGGTGTTTCAAGATGGTGACACCAATTGAATTATCATCTCTGTGCCCGAACACACGATGCCGAACCTCTGCATTACTGACATGGTGTTGCCACTGGATGTCAGCAATCCTTCGGAGACAGCGATGATCGAACACAGAGAGTCGTCTAACGTCCTCAACTCGGAGAGACCAGGTTTCACAAGCATAGAGCAAAACTGCTCTCACCGACGCGTTGTAGATCCGACCTTTTACAGCCAGACTAACATCACGAAGGCGCCAAAGGTGGCCCAGATTGGCATAAGCCGCTCTGGCTTTCACTATACGTGCATTGATCTCATCACTCACACCCCCACCAGCACTTATGCAGCTACCCAGATACACGAACTTCTCAACTACTTCTATCTGCTCACCATCCAGGGTGAGTACAGGATTAGGATCCTGACAGTCTTGTAGAAGTACTTTGCACTTCGAAGGTGCAAAGCACATACCATACCTACGGACACTGATTGCCAACTGATTAAGTGCGGATTGCATGGCTTGGGCATTATCGCACAGTAAGACAATATCGTCCGCATACTCAAGGTCGAGAAGTCTTTCTCCAGGCAACAGATCCACACCGCCATTACTTACGTTCATCAGAGTTGTTTCCAGAATGTCATCGATGGCAAAGTTGAAGAGGAATGGTGAGATTGAGCGACCCTGCCTAACCCCACTGCTCGAATGGGACAATGGAGAGAGGTGGTTGTATGCCCTCACTCTGCCTGAGGTGTTTGTATATAGGGCTTTTAGGATGTTAATAAACTTCTCAGGCACACCCTTTTTCAATAGACAATCCCAGAGAACAGCCCTGTCCAACGAATCGAAGGCAGCCCTGATGTCAAGAAACACTACGATTGTTGGCCTTTGATAAGTATGGCGGTGTTCTAACATTTGGCGGAGAGTGAAGATATGATCAATACATCCTCGACCGGAACGAAACCCAGCCTGCTCCTCGCGAGTCAATCTTTCTCGGGTTTTGAACAACCTACGAAGTATGACGGAAGCCAATAGCTTGGACGCAATCGGAAGTAGACTTATCCCCCGATAGTTGTTACAGGAACGACGTGAACCCTTTTTAAAGATAGGGACAACTATCGACTCATTCCATGACGTTGGTACACTCTCTAGTTCCCAAACCTTTGTAAACAACGTCGTCAATTCCTTAGTCAAAAAGTCACCACCATCTATAAAAAGAGCCGGAGGTAAGTCATCTGGGCCAGGTGATTTGTAACGCTTCAAGAGTTGGAGTTCCTTGCGGACTTCCTCCTCGTTTGGTGGATCAGTCGTCACCGGCCATGGAGGGCAGGACAGTCTGACCGATGTTGCCGGAGCAGCAGGCCAGTTGAACTGCCCTTCAAAAAATTCTGCCCATCGTCCAAGACGTCGATGGATGTTAGTGATTGTCATCCCATTATCCTCGCAGATTGTTTCACTCACATCAGACTTCTTGCTGCCAGTGGCTCGGATGAGTTGGAAGAGCTTCCGGTAGTTACCAGATGCAGCTGCTGCTTCCAGCTCATTAGCACGCTTCGACCACCAGGCTTCTCGGTCCTTACGCAAGCTTTGCCCAATTTCCTTACATAACATCCTTCGTTTGTGGTCAAACTCACGGTCGCCCGGAGTAGACCGACGGGCTTCAATGAGTTGTAAGGAACCTGCAGAAACCCAGTGCTTATAAGCGGGACGTTTCGCGAACCCACAACTGACTGTACCCGCCATTTTCATGGCGTCATGCAATTGCAACCAATGCTCATCTATACTTTTCGGTGGAGTGGTAGCTAGCCTAGAGGCTAGCTCGGTTCGATACTTACTTGCAACAGAAGTTGCAACCAGCTTGCTAACACCAATCTTTTGGTGGTGGTCACTTCGTTGTCCACTGAAAAGTAAGGCAAGATTGGCGCAGACCAAGGCATGGTCAGAGTCCAGATAGGTATTCCAAAAGGAGCGGCAGTCTTGTACACAACCACGACAGCGGTAGCTGATCGTGATGTGATCAGAGTCCAGGCTTGAGATGCAGAGGGAGGACGTTAGGTGGCACATCGGCGATGACTGTGCCGAAAGTTGATGCTAGCCAGAAACAGGTTATGGTTTGTGTACAGTTGCAGTAGACGGTCCCCGTTATCTGTCCTGCGACCAACAACTCCCTATCGGCCACCTAAACGACTCTCTTCTGTGCCTAGACGCACGAACTGAGCATTCAAGTCTCCAGCTAGTACTACAATATCTGTCGAACGCATTTTCTGGAGAAGAACAGATAACTGGTGGTAAAACTCACCCTTGATTGAATCCGGGCTGCAATCTGTCGAGGCATAGGCGGAGATGACGAAATGACATCGTTTCTCACGCTGATTTCTTCTCACTTTGATGGAACTTTCTAATCTAACAGCACATAACTGACTGTTAATGGGGATCCAATCGATTAGTGCTGCCTCAGCTCTAGCGCTTAGTGCGACACCAATGCCAGCAAGACCAGACGAAGATGCCACAGGGTCTCCGGATAAGCGCACGTAAAACAAGCTTTTCGAAGCGACAGATGAAGAGCGAATTTGTAGTACTTCACCAGAGTCTTGAATAAGGGTCTCGGATAGACAACAAACATCAATATTAAGACTTTCCAAAGACATAGCTAGCCCTATCTGTTGTCCGACCTGCATAAATGTGCGAACGTTGAAGGCGGCCAGTTTGAATGGTGCACGTGGTTTCAGAAAAACTGCTTCAGTCCTCGTATTCGGTGGTAACATACAATTTTCAACCGGACAGTGACTCGAGAACGTTTAGATACAGTCGAATTTCCACCAAAGACGAGCCGCTGTATAAGTATAAAAGAGGGTGAATAATGTGGAAAATAATAATAATAATAATAATAATAATAATAATAATAATAATAATAATAATAATAATAATGACGATAATAGTAGTAATAATAATAATAGTATTAATAATGACAATAATTGTAATGATAATAATTTGAATCAATTGATTGTTTTTCGAAGCGAGAAAAGTTATTTCCATAGGCATAGAGAGTTCATCATTTGTGTGTGGGCTGTGATACTGCCCGGGTGTGAGGACTTAAATTACTACCCTGGCGCCCAAACCGAAGCAGGTGGTTTTCTTAGGGCGCCACTCCCCAAGCCTTTGACCTGAACGTTTAATCCACAAGGAAGTGAGTGGGGGAACTTTAGGAGATGTAGTCCCATGGTGGCCGGTGACCAACAATAGGTTCATGTCATTTGTCTTTTGAGGATGCTGGAACCCGTGTGCACCATCGGTTTAGAATAAGGGTTTCCCAATGTCATATACGTATGACTTCAATCATTTCGTGATATTGCGTGGCTATCTTTTATTATCCGTATTGAATAATCATCTCACACTTAATCTCATATGATGAGACCCGTAGTAAGACGGGACAAATGTCCTTCGGTGCTTCTTGGTATTCAATTGTTGTTTAAGTAAGATCTATTCGTAGTGTAGACAGTTTATCATGTTTTTGTGTGCGGGCTGAGATACTGCCCGGGTGCCCAAACGAAACAGGCGGTTTTCTTAGGGGGTCACACCCCGAGCCTTTGACCTAAAGGTCTAACCCACAAAGCAGTGGAGCATCGTAAGGCGATGCAGTCCCGTGGTAGCCGGTTGTTATGACGGGTGTGACTGCAGGTCTTGATAAGCAGCGTTTATTGATCGATTCGGTGAGAGTGACACGGAAAACACGTAAGGGACGACCTAGTGCCCTGATTGGTCCTGCTTCCCTGTCTAGCCCAGTTAGTTGAGTCCAGAAGACAAGCCACAGCCTCGGAGATATGAATCATTATATTTCAAACATACTTTGTTTATATACCAATCAAGCACACCACATCGTACCATAAAATAGAAAACAACATTTTGTACAATATTTAACAAGTGAACAGATATCGACCAATAGGCAATGTCCATTTAAAGTCCAAGGACACCATTGGACTTAACATGATAATTATTGGTTTATTCCTCTGCATCCACAACACCGGTGATCAAGGAATTGGTTCATACGCCATTTGTTCCCGCATGATACTGGAGCCCATGTGCACCATTGATTTGGGATCTAGTTAAACCGCCGAACATTCGCTTTTCGTCCTCTCATTTTCGTAAACAACACCCCCGCCGCGAGAAGGCAGTGAGTAGGACTTCCCTGGTAGAGGCTGTATACGCGTGGTCGTGTGAGAGTATTTCTAGGGTGAGGGCGAACTCACCCCGCTCTCGGCCATACCAGGGCATTCGGGGGCTCATATTGTGTGGCGGTATATATTTGGTGCCCTCTTGTACCAATATTTATGTGTTCAAATAAAATAAAAAATATCCGTAGTGTAAATTATGAAACCTGAACACTTCATAAACTCCTATACTTATATTTATTTATTTCTTTATATTCATAGGAATGTCACTCCACCTATCTGGTATGAAACCAATGTTCGTCTATTCGAAATCCAACGACTTTAATGCTGTGTTGCATACTATATTTAACCAACTACCAAATTGAAAATAAATATTCATTAAAAAACTTTCTTTTTCTAATAGTCTATGTTTACTTGTTTGTTTTTCATTTTATTTCATTATTACGTTTATGTATACATCATATGTTTGAATAAATAGATATTTTCAGTGTTAAAAACAATACAGTTATAGACATTGTTTGTTTACTTACTCTCAAGTATTGGTTTTGTGTGCTCTTCTTTTTATGCTTACTGTTAAGTGTAATTAAGTCGTGCTAATTTTCGTTTGTTTTTTCTTCTTCTTTGAATTGCAAAAATATTCTTTTCAATTCAGTTTATATCGATTAATACTACTGATATTATTACTTTACTAATAATATATACACATAGTTCATATCTGTATACTTTTAAAATGTCAATTTATTATCACTATTGTTATTCCATTCTTTCACACTCCGGTTCGAAACCTTTCAGCATTTTGTGTGTTTATGTATTGAACTATCAGTTACTCATTGTAATTTTTAGTTCAGTTGTTTCTTCCTTTTGTACTTGTGGGTTTGTTTTTTTGTTTTCTTTCTTCCATATTGTGTGATATATTTAACATTGTTTATATACCTACATAAAAGAAACACTGTGATATTGTCTATGTGAATACACATGTACCTCAATAATATCCATATGTAATATTTATAGTTTATGAATTGTCCTGTAGACTTCTAAAATAAGTCTTCTGTTCTAAGTGGATTCTCTCTCTCAAAACAATACATTTGATTGTTGTTAGTAGTGTACATGTGTTGTGTGTGTGTGTGTGTTTAATCCATTCAGTTGTAGGGACTTAAGCGTAAAAGAAAATTGGTAATAAAATAAAGGCGTCCGACTTGTATTCAGTATTTAAATCCTTATCTATTGTTTTATGTCATAGTCAAAAGTGTTGATTCGAAGTAGTTTTTGAACTGTATAGGTGAGAATGCATAATTGTTATATGAAACATTACTTTCAATTTATTTTACTTAAATTTTAACTTCATATTCAGTTGACTACTTTAAATAGTTGTTTTCAAATAATAGTTTTGTGATGTAATTCAGAACATTTTTTTAAAATTGTTGTTAAATAGTCAATCATATACTTGTACAGTAACCTAAGGATTCGCAACTCACGTTTTTATAATGATGAACGAGACGGCGAGACTATAATTTATGGACAAACTAATTAGATACAAAGTAACAAGTCACGAATTTGGGCGCGGAATTCATCCATACATTTGGCTAAATAGAGTTTTGGCATTATAGCTGATGTTAATTCGTGATGAAAACCCTAAATCTAATTTTTAACCCTAACCATCAACTGTAAATGAAAATTCTAACTGCTTTATAACCCTCATTTAGTCCTAATTAGTAGTTGTTCACTCTCAACGTCACTTCAGCGTCGCTCAAAGGCCGTCCATAAATTATAGTCTCACCAACGAAACTATCTATGTTTTCTTATCTTCCCGTAAACTAGTGATAGAAATCTATGCTTCTCTTTTGAAGCTTTATTAAAAGGGACTTATGAAGATTAATTTACATCCAAATTAATATAATTACATGCTGATTGAATTCAATGATTATCATTTATAGAATTTATCAAACTGAGAAATAGTCACTTGAAAATAAAATTATAGTGAATGATCAACGCTGATTGTTAACTGAACAAAAATCATCTTAGATCAATATGCAAATTTTAAGGTTGATTTTCTTCCTCATACATTGTGTATTTGGGGGTTTCACATTCTTAACATGATATAATCTGGTTTGAAAATTTGTTAGGAAGCGTTGGTGGTCACTTTTATGGTTTTAAGGGTTATATGCAGTGTACTTATAATTATCTTATAGATTAAGAGCGGTTTAACGGAATTTGGCGTGTCCTAAATCTTATACAAATCAGATAAGTAAAAAGCACTTCAGTTAGCAATTTACATATCACTGTTTTTACATTCTGTATTATTGATATATATAAGTGATCTATATAACTGCTATGTAAGTGAAAAATTCTGAGCGGTGACTAAGGAACGTTAATTGGTAAACATAATGAACAACATACAGATTATTGGTTTGTCGTTCAAACTTACACAAGGATATACAGGCTAGGACCTTAACTAAGTGTATAATTGACTTCATCCAATTACGCTACTTATCACCTTTAATCCTCTGTTTGGCTTTGGGATGGTATGTGAGGACAGTCACATTATTTTTCTAAGTTCGCTCAACCTATCATTACACTAAAATAATTAATCATTGCATCCAAAAGCTAGTCTTCAAGAGTACTCTTCTGCAACTGTGTGTGACTAACTAACTTGGTGTATTGCTGCTGAAGAGAAAAACAGACTCGGTGCATTATTACTTCTGAATTCAATCACTTGAAAGCTAGCTCTGTTTCTACTTGTCCATTCCGAAAACAGTTGATTATCTATTCCTGATTGTTAATATCGTTCGTGGGAAATGATTACAACTGAACAGTTACCATCATCTTGTTTAGTTTTTAATTGTAAAAACTCAATTCAATCTGTCGTGGTTTGGATTATCTCATTTTTACTATTCTTGACTGAATTTTATCTAGCCTTGGTTGGCATATGTGCATCCTGTGAGTATCTCATCGACATAGTTCGTACGTCACAAGATTTTATAAAACATGTAGGATGTGGCTAACACTGAAATCCAGTACTCTTGTTCTGTCTTATTCGTGACTCGTGAGCTAGGTGTGTCTGCGTCCCAGTCTTGATGTTTACACTAAACTAAGTAGACCACGCCATGGGCGTTTAAAGAAAAAAATGTTGGGTCCGAGTTCCCTTTTGGGCATAACCACAGACACATCCAGTTTACGAGTCCCGAATAGGTGGATGTGTGTATCCTGAATTGCCTCTGTAAGTTCTGTGTTTTCTGAGAAACGGGTTGATAAAACCAGTGGTTTTTTGAAAATAATATTCTTTATTTTATTATCATATGAAAATTTCATAATAGGATCATAGATATGTAGGTTATTTTCATCCAAAATGTGTAACACGTGTGTAAATCTTTGATTAGGTGAATTATCAACGATAAAGATCAGTTTCTTGTATTGTGGCGTGTGCTACGTATACGGACAGATATAAGAAGTATGTATCAGGAATCGGAAGGTGCATTCCTACTGACGGAAGAGGAAAGTGAGAAGAGAAAGGAAAACAAAAGCAGTCGGAGTAGTAACAGGAATTGAAAAATGATGGGGTTTGTAAGAAAAAATATGACGATGTTCAAATGGTGTATTCAATGTGTTGTTTTCTTACTTTACTAATGCAGTGTGTGATGTTGATTAACACAATAGACTGGCTTACCCTATCCAAGTCTGTTCATTACAGTATTATCTCATAAATATCTTGTTCAGATTAAATTGATAATCTTCCAATTTTTACGCAAGTTCTTTAGTTTTTATTTTCAACGACTATTATTAATGTGAATTATGATAAAATTCATAAAAAGAATTCCTATTGTTAAATCGAATCCCAAATGATGAACAAAATACACTTGGACAGTCACCAATATGGAAATGATATCACTTGCCATAGGAATTATGGTTATTCTTTGTCTTTTGGTAATGACGTCACTTTCTTGGTGCCTTACATGTAGATAACAGGTGACATCAATACAATTCAAAATAGTTTTCATCAAATCTTTAAACAGCGCTTGTGTATTTTATCGTTAAAACATTTTCGGGTTGAAAATTCCATGTATTCTCATTCTTGTTGACTTTCGGTATTTTCTTGTGAATAACAAAATTGAACATGAATCATGTATCAGATGCAAATTCGTGTACTTAGTTTTAAGCCACACTTTATTTTACAGGAGCCAGTGATATTATGCAGCTAATTAACCACATCAAAGTAGGTGAAACAAGAGACTCAAATCTATAAATCAGCAGTCGACAGATAAGCGCTTCAGTCGGTAAACCATCTCTCTTTTAGTGAATTTCTCACTTGTTTCGTTTATATATATTTTTTATTTTAAAAAAATGAATAGTTAGATCAGAAACATTTTAAATTTATGTGTGAATTAGTATTTGGACTTGTGTGTGATTCCATGTTGAATAACTCTCAATAACTAGCATAGTCAGTTAGTTATCAAAGAGGCATTGGTATGTTAATCGATATTATTCTCTGGTTCTAATCACTGATTAGTCTTTTTTCAAGGCATGTTTTACAATAACTAATCATCATAATGCAATACTATGTACTTTTTCATAGTGCATGAACCAAAAGAATCTTACAGTATGTCAAATTTATAGCATCTAATTTCTATATCTTGAAGCACACTGAACAATACCACGTGCCAAGTCACCAGTCAGAATTCTAGTTCATTCTGTTATCTACTCAATAGCTTAGTGTCTTTGACTTGACCAATTACACGCTCGACCAGCACCATTGACCCTAAGACGGCAGCTAGGCCCCTATCGGTCCACTACTAATTAGATCCCATCTATGCTCAATCTTGAGTCCAGAAGTAACAACTAGTTTTTACTATCAGTCAGACGAGGTTTATATACAGACATACCAGACTTCACATGGTAAATAAGAATGAAACACGAATAAACCAAAAAGTGGTCATGAGTAAGGGAGATTTTGAGTGATAGACTGACAACAAGTAGTAAATCGTGTAACCGTAGTCAACAAATTAACTGAAAGCTCACGATAAATAGAATACATATACATAGTAATCTAGTTACTTGGTGATTATACAGCGAAATTACAATTAATCATAATTCGAAAAACCAATTTAAGCTTTTCTAATATTCGTTCCGTTATAACGCCTGATAAGCTCAGTTTTGTTTTGTTTTTTACAGTGAATGTCAACATTTCACATCATCACTTTGAAAGAACTTGGCATATCTTATGTTTAAAACTTTACACTGTTGACTAATCATCAAAACCGAACTTTATCAAGTCGACTTCTTCCAGCTACTGAATATCAACATATTTATTGTTTAGTTATCACAACTCCTACTCACTTTTTTTAGAAAGTCCTCTTTAATTTTTTTCTCTGCTAGTGTTGTTTTCATTCCTAATTAACTCAATATAACAAACATAGAACCTGATCATTTCATTGATGGTCTTTTATTTTACAACAAATTATTTTTCGATTTAATTAAGATAGATCAATAAATTCAAATCTATAATAATAAATTAACCTTTCATATAATTCTTCAATTATTGATGAGTGAATAAATATTTAATTAACTAGAATTTAAATAGACGCCTAATTTGATAAATTTATTATTATCAAGAGTTTTGTGGAGATTTTAGAAATTTCACTGATTGAAATCATGAGTCAATTGAAGCTAGACCACCATGGAAAACCTGGAAGCACTGGACGACCGTCTCGTCCTAGTGCGGGACTCCTCAGCAGTGCGCATCCACGATCCCACGAGTCCATGCACCTTAGTCTTGATGTCCGCATCGGCTCTTGAACCCAGCACATTTCGACTTAAAAGATGTGTTTTCCGATGAGATACCAAATCCATATAACCACTAAACCTTTCAAGGTGAATGATGTTTGTACCATTATTAGTGTTTGAATTATCCAATTGTCGACATTCAGGACAAGATGAATCACACCAAGCCAATCAGCACAGGATGCACAATGTCAACAGACCCAACATTCAGTCCTAAATACCAGCAATGGGATAATTCAAACCCCTATCAATGAACTTATTCATAGTTGTTAGGATAAAATAACACTTGGTTATGGATTAATTTGGGGTGACATTCTTCTAAGATAGGAACCACTGAGTGAGCAACGCTGAGGTTAGGGTACTAAGTAAAGATGTTAAATAAGTCGAAGAGCTAGTAAAACTGCACCAATTGGAGTGGCTGGATTATGTACCACATATTCCAAATCACTGCCTACCTCAACGGGCGTTTTCTGATGTAGGCTGGAAGAAAGCTAGGGGTGGCCAAACCAAAACATGTCAACAGTCCATTATGTCACTGACAATCGGGCTCAGAAACATTAATACGTGGAGACTAACTATTTCAAGTCCGCATAAATACTGTAACCAAAGGTCATACTTTGGGAAAAGCCTTAGAATTGTGTTCAATGGCATTGGTGCATTCACTCCTTGTCTTCCTTTTGAAACCAAATCAAAAAATCCCTTCATACATTTTGTTTTTATTACTTCATCTTCCCTACTGCTACTACCAATATTATTACTACTTCTACTACTCTGGGATTTATCTTGAAATAATTTCATCTCACTATACTAAAGTAGTATATCAACTTGAATCGATGTATATGTGCTACATTTTATGTGGTAGTTCTGGGTTATAATTATTAAATTTAGTTTTGATATCTAATAAATATTTTACAGCGATCATTTCTATTTTCTTTCTTATAACAAGTCGAATTAATTTTATTCCTGTCATAAAAAGATATTGAAATTCTTCGGAACTCCATTGATACCTAACTTTAAAATGAATAAATTTATATCAATAATTTAGGCAAAAACAAAACGAGTATTTTATTTTTCAATAATAATATACATAATACAAACAGGAAGGTGAACAGATCATAAATATTCAGTTATTAACATTTCAATTTAATTATTTGACTTTGAAAATTTTGTATACTGACTTCACATTTACCTTTCTCATCATAATCACACCAAATCTGGAAACAAAAAGAAGGAATTAATGAGTGAATGCAAACACAATAACAGTAATAAATGTCAAAAACGTAATTATTTCTTTAATTTCATAAGTTTATGTATTAATTTCAAAATTCCCATAGAGTATTTATAAAGACGGAGTATTAGAGTGAACAATAGTCTTCAATAACTATCATTAGGCTTTACACAGTTATCAATCTGAAATTATCATTTCTTTTTTGTTACAATATATTGTTGGTTAGAATTAGTCAGTTTAATCAAGCCCTAATTTTCCTTACCTTTTATGTATAATCTTTGTTCAACATTAACAATGATGTTACTTTGTTTTGTCAGTAATTTGTATCATTTAAGACTCAATAGACCCGAAGTTTGGTATTTTCAATTTATAACATGGATTAATCCAACTTTGATATTTTATCTATTGTGACACAAAAATGATCAGTTTTGGATTTATAACTGAGTAGAGACTGATGAAAAAATTATTGGAAACGATAATTCCTTAAATAATTTTTCTTTTTTACAAGTTAATTTTTAGGAAATTGTTTTGCTGTCAATTTGCAATTACTTTTCGTTTTAATTTAGATTAGTTTGAAAATATCATACAGACCTAAACTAATGGTTTAAAAGTTAGCATTTTCGATAATCCGGTGATCCAAAAGTTAGGGTCTCCTACTTTTAACCATTACGCCACAGGTTCTAACCTCATCACATCTACTTCAGTTTGGGTAACCAGATAGTATCACCAGCCCTTACGCTTAAAATCTGCCTAATAGTCAAGTATACGGATTCGTACTTAGCAAATGAGTTAATAAACAGTCATTCTTGGTTCAATCTTAACCCTTAGAGGCGAGTGTTACCATCAAAAACTCCTTGAAAGCTTTAAAACAGGTAACGCCTAACACTTGTAGATTGTCACTGTTGTCACCTTATAACATACCAGAATTTGTATGTTTTACACAAATGAAAGTGTACCCGATTAATAGTCATCAAGTAGTAATTTCAAAATCACTTGAAGTATTTTAGTGTGGGAGACTATCTGGTGTTTTTTCACTGATAGGCAATAAGTTCTTCATCTAAGACAGTGAACACTGAAGTCAACCTCATAAATATATGATAGTCATTCACAAGAAACATCTTGCTGCTGCTTCGTAGCGATTGGCGTGAATTTACTGTCGTTCTAAATTTACTTCGTATGTTTTTATCGTTCTTAACTCAGCGGCATAGAAGAATCCTATATTAAACAATAATCACCATTGTGTCACTCTGTCACTTCCATTATGCTTCAAAATAAGCTTACAACGAAATATGACTTTTGTGGATGGAATATGTTCAAGGCATTATTTATTCATTAATATATGAAAACCTTTGGTACATATCGCCAAAACAAAACGGGTCACACAACAAGTACTTTAAGCTACCTTTGGACACTAAGTAACAATATCTTTGTAGAGATGTGATGAATAAAGTTTCTGATCAACGACGGACATTTCGATGAGTAACCAAACTGAAATTCGGTGTAATAACTTAGTATTTTTTTCATATTTTTGTCCACAACTAACTATCTTACAACGATAATGATAAAATGTGAAACTTTAGGTGCACTTTATATCTTATTACAGACATAAATATCACCACGATTATGAGGTAGGTATTAAATGATCGAAGTAAAAAACGACAGGTATCCAACCTCATAAAGTATTGGTGAGTTTAAAATTAGGTAGACTAGGTACTTGTACAAAACATTAACTACACAGCTACGGCATAAAAACATTTTTCAATGTTGCTCATAAGGTATACAGGATTATTTGCACAAATTAAGATGCAAATTAGTTAACCTGAAGCTGCAATCATGAACTCGATAAAATCACCATATAACACGTTAAGTGCTGATGGATGAAATTTAGAGTAAACAGGGTAGAAAATCACGAATAATGAAATAAGAATGTAAGATTAGAAAGTAAATTTAGAACGTACACTAGTTCATTTAAATACAGTCGAAAGCTGTTTTTAAACTTTTATTACAAGCAGTGCTACGGAACGAAATGAACTGGGAATGTGGTTAGATGCATAAAAAACGTGAGCTTAATATTTTCACATTGTCCGTAAGTTAAGGATCCGTTTTTAGTGAATACAAACTATTTACGTCCATCAGATTAGAAATTACACGTAAATAAGTGGTTGATCTAAGAAATAATCAAGAAATTAACTACATGCGGTACAGAACTATAGTCAACTGAAGTAACAGTAGCAGACATACGTGTTTACACAACGTGCAACTCACCGTAGCTACCAGCGAGACTAAAGTTGTTGCTTCTCTTTGAGGCGAGTAGGCAATCAACATGGAAAAAGTAGTACATACAAAAACATTTGATGTTTACAGACAGTTATAGTGGGTACGGTGGACCTAGTAGCATGTTAATAAACTTTATAATAAATAATTAGGATCATTTTCATTGGTATTGGAACTAAATATAATATTAATTGGACTGTACTGTTTTACCTCATCTGTTAATGAGATGTCATCAAAAACCGCATCGGAGTTGACACTTGAAGCAGACCAACCACAACGAGGAGAAAACTCAGTAAATTCTAAACCACGACAGTCAAATTTTGCAATGGTTTTGAAATGACCAGAATCGTCAAGTGAGTATGGAAGTATGCTACCAGGAATAATATCTGAAATTTGGGAACATGGAAACAACCTGTCTTAATGACTGCATTTTTATACATAAAAAATGTTAGTCTATATTATACTAAATGCAAAATAGGCGGTAAATAGCCGCTTAAATGATTGAGCAAAAAGCAGATCTATTTATTTAAAAAGCATTTACCGGCCCAAGATTCGAGATGTTTCGTTGGTCCTTAACTAAAATTGTGAGTTGAGAACAAACTAACCAAATTTTATGGAAGCCGGTAGTCATATTGCATACACCTGGAGGTATTTGCAAAGTTTAACTGGCTTAAAAGATTTAGAAAACCAGGTTAGTATTTCAGACTATTGTAAAACGATGACTCAGTGGTTATAGTACATGATTTGTAACTGGTTGCCTTTACATACAAACATGCTTTTAATAACATCAGTCGGAGTGTTACTAACACTTACGTATTGCGATTCAAGGCTGAATAAATGGATATTTATATGATTAATGAGTTGCTTTACTTTCTCTGGAAAGGCTGTTCACTATAAAACAATGAGTTGTGGCTTCAAAATCTATTTCGTCTATCCAGCAGAATTTCAGGAATCCAACAGTACAACTACGCCAATTACCAAAAACGTAGCAACAACTGTAAGAAAAATAAAGGGCTAAACAGCACTGCTTTATGTTTTATCATGTTTGGACTTACGCTACATGTAATTTTTAAAAGAAACATTCCCTGTTACAACAAGCCCTATTGACATCACGAAGTCATGTCTATATTCAAGTCATCATAAAATGTAGTCTCTGAGTCGATGTTTGGTCATAGCTTGGCACAAGTGTGGATAGGGTTGTTGTGGATTCCAGAATAACTGAATAAATCACTAAAGTTAAAAACTATTACGTAATTTACATGTGCATAACATTTACGTGGGATAGGGTCGGAGTGCTAACATTGAAAACTTATAAGATTTCACTATCAACTCAGTGGAACGATTTATCAAAAACTATGGTACGGTGGTCTAAGTGAAAAATGGCAAGAAATGTGTACTGTGGTAGCCATCCACCAAGTCGCTTTACAATAAGTATTTACGTGGACCACAAGTGGAACAAGCCGATGAGCTTTTGCTGGGACGTAAGTTCCACTCAGCAATAAGCAGTCAGTGAATTATAAACCTCTTTTTGAATCTCATGCCTTGAAGTTTGAAAGATGCACAACATATAAACAGACTGCATACCAGCATTTGAAACTCGTTTACAAAATTTACACCGGATTACTAAATTCGCATCCCCGCGACTGTCTTGAATTGGTGTCTTTTCCTGAAATTATTAGAGCACATGGGCTCGCCAACTTACTACACTGTTAATGTATACGTAATCATGAGTATTTTCACCGCAGTTCCCGCACTTTACCTATTCGTTGTCAGGTCGAGATCATAATTCGGACGTTCTTACCTTTAAATACCAACGAAAATCATCACATGAAGGACTTAGATTAGTGACATTCGTAAGTTCACAACTAATTTGCACACCAAGTAGCTTAGAGATGCTATTATTCGGTTTATTAAGGCTTACTACCATTAGTATTTTGGAACAATTGGGCTAGTCAGATGTTCGATAAGGATTCAGTCACAAATAGCTTTGATCAGTATACGTATTTCACCGAGAGTGAAGCAAAACGAGAATTAACAAAATCAAAAAATGACCTTGAATACCTCAAACTCCCTCCTGATTAAAAATTACTCTTGATCAGAACTTTTTACTCAGGCTTATATGAAAAGAAGAACACTTAGCACGTTAGAATGATTTTGCATGGTAATACGCGAAGTGGATGCTTTTATTCGGGAGCGGTGTGTTTTCTGATTATTATTTTGGAGAAATAATTTCTCAAGATGTTTTAGTATAAGAAAACATGTAGAGGAAAGTTTGTCAAACTAATTTATGTTCCCTGGAAGATCGAAGGTTTTCGCCTGAGTGACTTCGCAAAATTTTATTGAGCCACTTGGGGATATATACGAGTTCAAGAGTTGACTACTTTCAAGTAGTAGAAAACAAATATACAGCCTAACCTGATATCTTCGGCCTCAGGGTAGCGAATGCTGCTCTGAACTTTGGTGTTGTGACTGAATTTTATTGCCCTCTACAGGATATAACTATCTTCCGAACCCTTGATATATAGGCAGTTCCCATATTGTTTGTTCCAAGACAGTAGTAGTACAACTCTATTTTTCTTACATCCTTATTCAAATGGATACCGTATTTCCCTGATGGTGCTTGAGCTCGATCTCAACATAAAATCTACACTTCGACAAAGATTGTTGACAAAGCGAGGAGGAACGATCGAAAACTCTTAACGATTAAGCTCAAGCGGGCGAAAATTAGTGTGTTTTATGAAGTGAAGTAGTCTAAAAACTTTTGTTGTGAAGATGACACAGGTATTCAGTGTTTGACAACGCTTTTACCAGCAACATCTTCTAATATAATTTGTACCCATCGAGAGAAATCAAAAGACAGAGTTGAGGAGATCGGAAGAGTGTATTTGGCAATAACCAATATATCGGAATTCTCTGATCTAATCTGGCTAGCGATTGCGGTAGATGTTGAGCGCAGCGTTACCACACGTGATCTGGTGCGGATGCATGACCGAGCACTTTCAGCTAGATGAGTCCACTAAAACATATGGTCAGCATCCAATGTCAAAAACTTACAAAGCAATTTATTTTGGGGATTTATTTACCGCTACAGTTGACACTTATAGCATATATAAAACAGGTGCTGTAAGTATAGGTGTTCGGTCTGTGTTCAAACATAATATTATCAAGCCTAATCTTACAACAGCCAACTAAATAAGCTGTAACTATCTCTAAAAGTAAAGTCTTCCTCTGGGATAGCGATACTGTATAAGTTTCACCGTGGAGAATCATAACCAAATTTAAGGGGCTTTTTGTAGGACCTATATTAATCGCTGCCATAGAAATTTCTAGGTGCTGGTCACTATATAGAAAATACTGACTTTTATTCACTTGATAATTCCTTCCGGACTTTTGGTTGTCTCCGACACAGATTACTCCTAGAGTCTGCAAGATGATAAAATTTGATAATTAATATCATTGCGAAGAGCTTGCATAAATGTGAGGACGGTTCATGTATAAACTCGGGGAATCTCTAAGAGGCTCAGAAAGAGCCGAAGACGTTCCATCCAATTATCATTTAGAAGAACATTTCAGAAACTTGACGTGTAGCTTACCTATTGTACAAATTCTAAAAAACCGAAGTATACGAATTAGATGGATATAATGTTGATTTCGCCTTTATTAAAAATTATAAATACCTGGGAGTTTTGTACCATGTTTGACACTGTTTAGAATAGCATTTCTTGTTACTCGTCCTCCGTCTTCTCATTTACGACTTGAAGGGTTCTAGCGTTCGAGTGCTCAAGTAGTACATGGTATATCAAGAATGTAGGCCCTAGATATAACAGTAAACCAGAGCATTTCTTTGAACTCATGCTTTGGGATAAGGTTACATTTCATCCCAGTATTATTCGACGGGAGCAGCCAAGGCGTTTTACTAAACTAGTCCTGGTGAATTCAACTTGTCATTAGCTTGTGTAAATGAGTTTGTCAATACATATATCGGCATAGTTCCTTCTCAGATATTTAGGCCTTATTATTCTGACCACATCGGCTTCTCTCCGACTACATGGAAAACTGTTAATCAGTCATATAACTTCATGTCTATTTGTAGAACACTTCGACAGTTTTCTCCTCGTAACGAAAGACCGCGAACTTGTGTTATTAGCTCCTAACCACACAATAATCCCAAACCAGATCATATCCATACGATCCCACGAGTGTTCAGTTTTACGTGTGTGATGGCGAATGCAAGTGTGATTGGTCAGCAAGTATGGACAAACATGCTTTCAACCTTGTGATTCCCTTTTTTTGTATCGATTTCAGTTTTGAACACACTGATTGTGACTGCTTGGATTTGTTTGGAATAAACGTAAACATTTCGAGTTATTGTGGTGTTTGAACGAACTAATGATTCTTTTCTACTTGTTGACTGCTCGATTTAAAATTCCAAATATAATACGTTGACACACTATGCGTGTTAGTTTACGGGTTTTCGCGCACATGTAACATATTGTCGTGGATTTTATGTGTCGTTATTTATCAGCTATTAACAGTCTTTTTTCCATCATAAGTGACTTCTCGTAATCTTTGTGATTGGAAGATAGTTTTTATTTCAATTTATAAGCAGTTTGACGTATTTCGTGCTCACCACCTAAGTAAATATGTAGTTGGCGTAATATGGTTATTTTTAACAATACAAAGTCAAACAAGTCAAATCACCATTTTTCTAGTCAAAAATAGATTACGGATTGAGTTTTCATGAAAATAAGCCGTAAAAAGCATTATATATGGTTCACCTCCTTGATTATGGTGACGGCAAACATAGATGTTCGTAGTCGTTTATAAAATGTAATCAGAAAGAAGTAAGCGTTAAACTAACTATGAATATTATATAAATTGTTTGTATTTAGCCATACAAGGTTATTTGGACTATAGGTAGCATTGTTTTGTACTGAAGTGACATATTATTGTGTAACGTATCAGTAAAACATTATGTGAGTAACAATTGACGTTGATAGTCTTTTTTACCGGCTTTCTGAACGTATACAGGAACAGTGTATAACACCACATTAAATAGGCACAAAATCTTCATAAGTAAAACGATGGGTGTCTCGTCTGAGCATGGTGACAAAACCATGTCGTATTTAATAATGATTTATGAGGTGTCTTTTATAGGGTTGACGAGTAAGTTTCTGTAAACGGAATGCGCAATCGCAGACCCAAATGTGAACAAAGTTATGATGTATATTGTCGAGTAATATGTAAATGGTGCTTACCAATTCCTCTTGCTAATACCAGATGTATAGACGAAATACTACAAAGGTTAGACACTGAATAAATTCCCAGTGCTTGTTACGACACAGACTTGAATAAAAAAACAACTGTTAATGAGTTAATTCATGAATTCCTACAGCATTACAGACTGACTCGTCCGAAGTAATTCATGCAGACAACGTGACGAAAAGTGGATGAGCAATGAAAGCAGAATCACAAGTTCCTTGTATTCATATCTTCTTTATGCCACATTAATTAATTACATTTTCTTTATAAGTCAGACCACGCTTCTATGTTGTGACGAAACTAATTTCAGCAATTTTTAAATAACACTGAATTGTTTGTTGTAAAAATTACCTATAAATTTTTATTAAAGGAAGTAGAAATCGCTAATGATTAGCGCTGTCTGCAAATAAGAGACTTATAGGTACATTCTGTAGCCTGCTATTTGATGGACTTATTGAATGTGATACTGATAACTAAGTCTAATTCTTTATTTCACGACTGATTTGTTTGTTTTTCAGAATTGTATGAATCCAATAAAGTCGTCAAAGCTTTGTGATGTTTACGCCGGTCTACAACTTATAGAATTTGTGATTATGGAAGACCATGTTAAAAACCGGTTTGCAAGTTCACGTCAATTGTGTTCCGTATTGCCTAGTGACATTTTTATTCAACTAGTGAATTAGTGAAATATAAATATAGCAACTACACTCAGTGTCTTACTTTATAAACCGTGTCCGTATTTATTAATAGTCGATATGACGCTAGAACAAATATAGATAGAGAATAATAGGAACTCCTTATAATCCATGGAATGAACAAGTAATAAGATGGATTATGTAATAATTCATTTCACTTTTAAAATTTAGTTACCGATTTATTCCAGCACCCTGTCACTTATATCTGCTTACTTAATCCTCTGTAATTATGTGACCTCTGCAAATTGTAATCAATTATTACGTAACCCAAGTTTTCAGTTCTTAAATCCACGGATCATTTACAAGCTATAAGATTTTCACACCACTTATCTGTCTGTGAACTCCAGTCCACTTTACACCACCCATTCTTAATGTTATTGACTGTAAAAACAAATGACCTTTGACCTTAAACTGCACGTATATATATATATAATCATTATTGATAACCTACGTCATTTCAGTTATTCATATTCAGGTATGTCAACTGTTTCCCACATCACTGTTAAATCCTAATGCATATTTAGTTATAATGAATGCATACCACTGTTAATCAACATTTCTCCTGGTTTCATTTTAATTCATAAGCGGAACTAATCACATGAAATTAAAATCTACTTAACTACTGATACGATTTTGATGATAAACGTAATCCGACGAAGGTGAATATGATATGTGGGTGCCTAATCTGCAAGACTGTACGTGGATGTAGGGTTTCTTAATCATTCTTAATTATTACAAACAGTTACACATGAACATCATTGCTATTCATTCCCATGAAAGTAGGGATAAGGTGAAAATTAAAATTATGAATGTTTATTGAGTAATCGTTGCTGCTAAAGCAGAAAATCAAGTTGACAAGTTGGTATTAGGAATTCTTAAGTAATAATTGTCCACTTTCTTCTCAACTTCCGTTGCGAAACGTTCACCATACTTCTCAATGATGCGATGCTTATGGATTCTTTGGCTTCGTTGAATACTTATATACACTTCACTCCGTCGTGGTAATGCAGTTAATGTATAATTTTGGAAGTTCTGGGTATTATGTAACTTCCATCTGCTACAATACCTAAGAAGTTGATGAGCTATGCAGTTAGTATTTCATAATTGATATAGCT